AAATAATATTTTGATTTGATTTGAAATAAGACCTTCTCAAAAGGACAAATGAAACAGGTCATAATTGCGTTTTATATTCTCACCCTCTAGGAATTTAACATAAGAAACAAAAGAGAAAATGTTGCAGTGTTGTCAACAAGCAAGCTTGTATTATAAAAATATCAACAAATGATAAGACTGGAATTCATCTGTTCACTGACTCCACTTAAACCCTGAAGAAATTTATTTAAGAACCAATCACCTAAAACATTTTTAATGTCTGTCGCGATTTTAAAATTTGTCTTTACTACGGCCGACACATTAAATTTCTTATGTATTAATTTTTTTATTCATTCTAGTAATTCCACTTGTTTTATTGCTACCAAAACATAAATAATTGTATCCCTAACTGACGTGAGACTGATCTTAAATTAAATTATTATGATTCATGTGCACTTTTTACTTTTTATTTTTCATGTATCCTTTATAAGTTTAGTTTGTTTTTTGTTCCTGTTTAGTTCTTTTTCTTAATAACTATAATATTATAATATATTTTTGCAGTGGTTGCAAATCATTTATTTCAATTAGACCACATCAAATGGCACCTAGAAGAGATCGCTCGAAGCGCTTAAGGCCGCAAGTTGCACTCCTTTACATATAATAATGTTAATTTTTTATATTGTATTGCAACGAAGTGTAAATAAATAAATAAATAATGTTTGTGGCGCCAAGATTCTTATATGTCTGTGATGAAATTATCACCAACTTGGGGCAAACATTATTATAGATTTTTAATATTTAATTATTTTAATCGTAATTGCGATTACCACTTAGATAAAGGTCTGCACGGTCCCCCGGATTTCTTCCATGTTCCACTTAACCTTCCAGTTTGAGTAAACGGCGTGTTCAGCAGACTTATATAATGTGATAGAGTATAATGTGTAATGTTTTCGGCGCCAAGATTTATCTATGACTAAGTCTGTGAACATTACGAAGAGCGTCCTTGATAACGTACAAATCTCGTTGCAATTTGAGTGCATTGCACATGACTTGACGTCACTGCGGGCAATGAACCAGCTGAATTGGACATAAGTGTCCTGGTACTTGCCGACAACGCAACTCAATCACGGTTGACGCGATGCAACAATTGTATTTTAATCGTTTAATAACGCACTTTTATTCAATTCTTGATATGACGTGTTTCAATATACGAATTTATGTTTCTAGATTAAACCAGTTCTTGACAGATTACGTGCTATAATCTTAAAATGAATACATCAATGGCGCTACAATCTTTTTAGGTCTGGGCCTCAGATTTCTGTATCTGTTTCATGTCCATTTGTCAATCTAATAGGCAACTGCTGCTGTGCCTGACACATACCGTCGACTTTTTGGGTCTAAGGCAAGCCGGTTTAAACAATGTTTTCCTTCACCCTTCGAGCGAATGTTTGTGGGCACCTAGAAATAAAAACCATTAATGCATAGCCAGGAATGGAACCTACGGCTTCAGGGATGAGAATCGCACGCTGAAGCCACTAAGCCAACACTGCTCCGCTCCACTGTGATACTCTTACTTTAATACTATCATGTCGGCGAGAACAAAGCGTATGTTTTGTACACATCTCTTTGATTCATGTTTCAGTATCACATATACGTCGGTACCTTTAGACAATATAAACAAACGAAGGTGAGCGGTTCCCCACGAGTATTATTACTAAGACGCTTTACAAAGTCGCGTCAGAGAGCGCATTCTGATTCGGTGCACGATGCGCGGTCACAAACAATCACGTTTATACGCATAAATATTCCACAAATTAGAATTATTCTCGTACAATTATACTTGCATGTAAGGTTATTTTATTAGTGACACATTCCACACGTCTATTATCGTTATAGAAATCAGCCATCATACAATAACAAGGTATTTGTGTTTGATAGACATGTCAGTTTAAACCTTTAGCAAAATTTCAATATACAGAAAAGATACATGGATAACGCGTGAGAATAAACGTCTGCTTAAGCAGTTGCTGTCTATTTTTGTTTTATTCAATTGTGATATTATTTATTTTAACCGCGTAAGAGTTCTTAATATAATACTTCTAATAAATACAGAACTAATTTGTACGCATAGTTAAATTATCATTTTTTTATATTCTTGTAAAACTTATTTAAAATGTGTACCGTTAAAAAATCTATATTATACCAAATAAATACGGATTAATTTTATATGCTATTGACTAAACTGCCGTAACGCACGTGAAACGTCGTATAATGTAATAAATATTATAAGTCCGTCAGTTACAAAAGTGTTATTTAAATCGCTGAAATTACCTTGCGTAAAACAATGTCATTATTTTATTCAAAACGGTTAAACGGAAAAGAGTTAAAGATAACAGGGAACATTATAGATTAGTCAGCCTTTGCGTTAGGTGACAAATGTAGACGGCTGAGCTTGGCGCGCACCACATAGGTTTGCCGTTCAGACCCTTACTACTGATATTTTCTAACTATAAGCGCAATCAGCAAGCATTTAAGGAAATATTGTAAAGGAGCCAGCAAGTCTAGCGCGAAATATGACTCGCTCATGTGCTGCTTCTTCCAGATATGGGGTTCACACAGAACACTTTACGCTAAAACAACTCTGAATCTTAGAATGAGATCTTAAAACCTGCTTTTCTAGCAATATCGAAGATACAGATAGAGAAACCTGGGGTTTTGGTTGAAGTTTGCTCAAATTCAAGTTTAATCATTATAATCCAGTGGCTATACAACCTTTTGTATCTACGTCACCATGCAGCATTCTTTGATAATATTTCTGACAAGGAGAGAGGTTTCCTCACGATGTTTGTCTTCATTGTATAAACACGTAGAGTCATTGGCGCACGATGATTCCAAGCCCTTTATGCCAACACTGTTCATTCAAAATTGAACCTAATTCCATAAATCTTGGGCAAGTAAACGACAAGTTGATATACATATCCATGTGGTTAGTGTGGTTTTTCCTTTAGCTACAATAACTGTATATAAATTGTAGGCAATATTCACAATTTAATTAGTAGTATTTTAACTTACAAATACAAAAGCTGGTTTGTTTGTAATGATATCTGCGTACTGTAGAATTTCTTGTAACGCGAGAATTAATACAACGTTACTTTGTAAGAGACTCACTTAGTCATTCATTAAGTTTAATTTAACTGAACCTATTTAGATTCAAATTTTTTCACTGTTGCACCCTAGATCAGCAAAACTAATGGGGCATTAAAATTCGTACCAGAATTGTTCTTTTGGTTTTCGAATATATAAAATGTGTCACAGTGTTCGTTCCCATACTCCTCCGAAACGGCTCGACCGATTCTTATGAAATTTTTTATGTATATTCAGTAAGTCTGAAAATCGGCTACTATCTATCTTTACAACCCCTAAATTTTAAGGGTGGTCCACCCCTAAATTTTTATTTTTTAGTCAAAATTTTTTGTTTTTATTTTTTTATGATACAGCATACAAAAATACATACAACCCTAAATTTCATCCCTCTACGATCAACCCCTATTTTTTATTTGTTAATTAACATTCTCTGGGGTAGCATAGCATAATGTTCCATGTAGGAATGTACTAAAAAGGTAGGCTAAGTAGAATCACATTTAGGAGAAACGAAGTTCGCGGGGGCAGCTAGTTTATTTTTATAATAACATACTTACTGTTTGACTCTTAGGGTTAAAGGAATTATTTAAAAGCTGTTGAGAAAGAAGAATTTTTTTCATAATACTCATCAGTTTATTCCACAATATCGCATTCTTCGTGAAGTCTTACACGCAGTGAGAAAAAATAAGCGAATTAAGTCCTCCTTAAGCCGATGTGAGGTAAACCATGACTCATTGTTTATTTTTGATTCGATAAATTTTATCAGATGATCTTGTAACCCGCAGCGGATACTTAATAAAAACCTAATTAATACTGTCGTAGATATCTCTTTAACAAATTACTTTATTTTTATCGTTTTTATATTATAACTAGATGCCGAAATCACTGACTGCGCCCATAACATAACCGCGCTTTTTTACCAACTCCCCCGAAGCGGCTTTTACGATTTTTATTAAATTTTTTGGACAATATGACCATAATAATTTTTATTTAGATCGTCTTTTTAATTTATTTTAAAATAAGAGAAAGCTAACATTGTTTGGGTTTAAAGGTGAATACACAAATTTATATAAAATGATAATAAATATCATAATTTAAAATAAAAAAAATATAAGTCAGTGGCGCTACAACGTCTTTAGGTCTGGGCCTCAAATTTCTGAATCTGTTTCATGATAATTTTTCAATATGGTGATCAGCCTCCAGTACCTGACACACGCTTTTTGGGTCTAAGGCAAGCCGGTTTCCTCACGATAATTTCCTTTACCGTTCGAGCGAATTGTAAATGCGCACATAGAAAGAAATTCTTTTGGTGCATCGAAAGCCGGGGATCGACCCTACGGCCTCAGGGATGAGAGTCGCACGCAGAAGCCACTAGGCGAACACTGCTCAGTAAATAATCTAAATATATTTATTTACTTTTTAAAATATTGATTGTATAATCGCCAGCATCACAATCTTTTTTTAATTCCAAATTATAAAACTTATTTACAAAAAAATATAATTGGATATTTTTGTTTGAGTTGCATCGTAATCATTATACTGTATTGAATACTGGATTGAATAGTGATCATTCAAATAGTGGAGGAAAAGAAAATATAGATTTCACACAACGCGTACATGAAGAAAAACTGCAAAATTTAGAAGCATAAAAATGATTGCAGCAGGTAATTCTCTTTGTAACGATACGTCTCGTTGGAGCGTCTAGACAACGATGACAGCTTTTTTCTCTTCTCGGTAATACAAATTTTGGCACGCTTGTTAAGATATTTTGGCAAACATTCCTGACATTAAACTGATCCGGAAAATGAATGAAAGTTGTCGGGAAAAGTGAGTCACCTGTAACTACAGTCCTCGTCCTTGTCTATTAGCGAATATTTACATTACATAAAGGCTATCGAGACGGATTTTGACACGGTAACGGCCAACGGGTCATCAATGGCGCAAGTGGTATTAACAAAATTATAAAACCTGAAAGCTGTAAGTACGTATCTATATTTTAGACGCTGCAAGTGTTACTTAACCTCGCTGATCGTTATTGTACTATCTGTCTGTAAAAATAAATATCTACTAATAATAATTAATCGGCAAGTCCGTTCATTCGATATCATCTGAATATAGGTTCTGTTATACAGCTTGTCCTTGGACATAGGCCTCCTCTAAGAGCTTCAACTCTTCTCTGTTTCTAGCTTTACGTAGCCACATAGGGCCAGCTGCTCTTCGCACATCATCTTCCCATATTTTTATTTGTCTTCCTCGCTTTCTTTTGTCATAGGCCATTCCCTCACTTTCTTCGTCCTTTTATCTTTATCTTCTTTCATAATGAGTCCTGTCCATTTCCATTTCCATTTAGAAGTAACAGCATTTCTAAACTTTGTCATGTCCTTTATTTCTTCTAGTTTTACTCTATCTTTCAATTTCAGACCTAGACCTAGCCTTTCGATACTATTTTGACATACTCGTTTGTTTTCCTGTTTATCAGTGAGTGACCAGGTTTGACATGCGTATATCAAGTACGGTAATATACAGGCATCAAATACTTTTCTCTTGTTAAACATTTTCAATTATATAAATATAGTGTCTTAATTAAACATATTCAAGGTAAAACTCGTTACCAACGTTGATCTCAACAAATATTTGTATTTTACTTATATTTTAACAAATTCTTTCACTTCTTGAAGGCTACTTAAATTACCTAATTACGAATATTATTTTAAACAGTTTACGATTTAATTAGATGTGTAACGATATTTTTATTTAAAAATAACGAAGTTGCCTTAAAATTGGTTGCGATAATAGTGATCCAATATATTTTTAAATTTTTACTATTTAAATGTTCAGTGAAAAATTTATATTCGATGAATATACGAGTAAGGAAATATAGTTTTACAGAAATAAAACTTAGTTAATTAAACTAAAGAATAAAGTTAGTTAAACTATAACTGGGCCGAAGTTATTTTACAATATGAGGTTTATTTGTGGCGCTTAATTTAGTTTTAATTTATTAATTATGACCAATACATGAACAACATGAAAAAGTAAAAAGACAAACGATCACACTGAATTAGAAGCGGCTAGCCGTAATTTCTGAGACTCTAAACAAATTTTGAAAAGTCCTCACAATTAACATTGATTTGTCAAATCACCTGCGGTGATTAATTAATTAATCTAACTGTGTAAACAATAATTTCATAGAAAACTTCAAATCTCAGAGTGATTCGTGTTATTTAATAGATAAGATATAAGTTATCTTGATTTATAATTTGCTATAAACGCTAAAAGTACGAAAATTTTGCAATAGTACGTTTTTGTCGTAATCTGTAATCACATGGCGTAATGATAAGATTGCAAAATCGTACGATACCCAACTATCAGAATAGTCCTGATATTACGAAATAAAAAATAACAAAAATCTATTCTCTATTTCTTTATTTTATAATCTTTCGCGAATATCATTTTATAATCCTTATTATATTTAATTTTGAAGTCAACTTTTAATAACTCTTTTTAGGGTCCAGGATTCGGTTTCCGAAACAATAATGAAGCTTATATATTCCAATGAAAACACTTAAGCACTTTATACATAAAAAAATTGTTAAGATTATGTTATAAAATAGTAATTTACAAATAAAATGTAATGTTTTCAAATGTTTCCAACAGTGCGTTAAACAGTGTTCCGAAATTTTCCAGCGCTTTTCCTCACAAACAAATAATATAAATATGTTTTGAAGATTTTTCACTAATCTAATATACTCAAAGTTTAATTTGCGACTTGAAAGTATTTCAATTTCAGAGAACTGCCATATGTGATATTATTCTTGGCAATGTTTATGATTGAATGGTGATTAAAAAAGCTTTTCATCTTATTATAAGATTTAAAACGTCTCCTGTATATTTTAGGTTCGTATATTTTTAAACGTTTATATATAACATTTACGTACTATGTAAAAAAAGAAAGAAAGTATAAACTATTCATGATTATGTGTAGTATGGAAATCACAATTTATCTGATTATTTTTTGTTTATTTTACATATGAGTGACATATCTGCTGAATGTCTTTGCCCGATAAAGATTGTATCATACAACAAAAATAGATCACTTGACATTTCAGTTTGATACCGAGAGGAAAGCTGATCACTTTCACGTGGCATTGTTTTTATTCCATCGAACGATCACAATAACGGCGTGATAGTCATATGCATGTCTTCGAATAATATAGTACTTATAAGTAATTGTGGACTAGAACCAATGACGATGCAAGTCGCTGTGATCTATGCACCGAGAATGTCTATATTTGCATCGCATGCAATTTGATTGATGCGTTACAAGATTACTAGATTATAACTTCGAAAGCGCATGACGTTGCCAATGTTTTAACGTATAGAAGTAGATACCAGAGTAGAAGCAGAAGAAACTAGATCTTACCGGCAGGTCTCGTGGTACGCCGAGCGGGTTCATCTTCTCTGAGGTCAGGAGCATGCCTGCGCGCGACGGCGGGCCCATACGGGGCCACCGCCAGCAACATCAGTACCAGTGCGGGCACCATGGCACCTACCACTGGTTCACCGGGTTCGCTTCCCGGTCCGAGCGCACTATTTTCGCCGCGATATACGAGTCGTTGCGTGAACAAGTGTAGCGCGCGTACGCGACGTAGTATTGCGACGGTCGAGCCAGACTGAGGCGAATGGAGAGCGTCAGAACGATTTCCCGAGAGTAGCGGGCGGGGGCCGGCGCGCCCCTCGCGGAAAACTGCGGCATGCGAGGGGGGCGGGCGGGGAAAAATGCATCGCCTCCGTGCGACTGCCCGCCCCGCCGCATCACGGCACTTGCCCACACGCGTCACGAAAAATCTTGCGCCGGAAAAGGCTTAGCTTACGTGCGTTTTGTCGACAACAGACAAACAACACAGATCAATCAAAGTTCGGGGAATTTAAAAAAAAATATATTCGTGAGTATATCCAATGCTTTCTAAATTTAAGCATCTTTTACAATTTTAATAGCTTGTACGTTTTAGTTTATATGAAATACAGAATGAAAGACGGGCTACAAATGTTATTGTATTAAGACCTTTTACAGAAACAATACATATTTTTATGATATACCTACGTCACTTGCTACGTAATCGTAGCTGCTACTATCACAGTGGAGTCATTCTTGTGCTCTACATTCTACTTATTTATTTATACGTTCTAAAACAATGTGTATGCCTAGAGAATACAGTAAAATATGACATCACAAGTTTAACACACATACACATTTATATTAGAATATAAGCAATCGATCAAAGGAAAACTTTAAAGCAACAACCACAAAATAAAAACTAAAAATTAAAAATAATTTTATTTATTTATTCATTATATACATGATCTTAAATAGAAAATAAGTTGGTGTGATGGAAACACAAACTGGACACAGTTTTTCTGTCCACCACAACGTAGTACATATTTAAATAACTAACTTATATGCTAAGGCCAGTGACATATACACTATAACATGATAACCATTAAAATTTTTCGTAAAACGTCACAAACCAATTGAAACATTGACGCTCCACAGTTAGCTGACGCAAGAAATTAAATTAATAACTAAAACTATTTACCTTTACGAACAACTTTTAAAGTTATTAAACTTTTGTTTTTAATAAAATAATTAAATCGTAACGAATAAACTTATTTCAATAGACCTGGCAGTATTGAATACCGGAGAAGACAAATGACAGGTAAATTCTAGAATCTACGACGCGTCTGATATAGGGAACCATTATTTTTGTTAGTAGAAAACATTGTGTTAATAATTTAAAGAAAAAACTTTTTAACCGGATTAAAGTTATGTATTATTATAATTATTATAAAATAAATAAATTTAAAATTATGTTAAATAATTGTAAATTTATAATAATACATAACTTTAATCCGGTTAAAAAGTTTTTTCTTAAATGTGTAAAGGTTATGTCAATAAAAGACAATACTATGTGTTAATAATATTTTAACGTACATATATAATATGCTTTAAAAGTCGGAAATACTTGACCATTTGAAATGTCTACCATGCCATACGATAACGAAAAAAAATCAATAATTTTTTTTCTGGGGTCTTTAGAGAATGGAGCAGTGTTGGCCTTGTGGCTTCAGCGTGCGACTCTCATCCCTGAGTTCGTACGATCGATCCGCTGCTGTGCACCAATGGACCTTCTTTCTATGTGCGCATTTAACATTCGCTCGAACGGTGAAGAAAAACATCGTGAGGAAACCGGCATGTCGTAGATCCATGATTAGATCGTCAAATGATCATGAAACAGATTTAGAAATCTGAGGCCCAGTCCCAAAAAGGTTGTAGCACCAATTATTTTTTTTAGTGAATGACTTGCGGTGCATTTTCTAGCATTACTAATAAGAAAGAGTAAAAGTGTAAAATTTATTCAACAATCGCATTTAATATTTTATGTGTTTACTGCGAAATAATTACATAATAAGCATAGCATAGTACTATTTTCTATAAGTAGCTGAATCACCAAATAAAATAATTACAACGACTAACAGCCTCAATATGGGCACGCTTCCTCTGCGTAAAATAAGATTAGCAAACATTATCAATCATAGCGTTTTATTCTAAGTCTCTAAAATTAATTTAACCCTATCTTGGGATGATGTAGTGCTCCAAGCTTAAGAAATATTACTCTGGCACTTGTTCGCGACACCATGGCGCTATCCAATATGAACGTTTATTAATCATACAAAATGATACCCCTGTTGTTTCAATGCACTAATTTAATTTTGTGCATTCCCGGGGATGATATATGCACATGAAATTGTTGGCAGTCGATATGCATATAAAATGTACGAGTTATGTATTAATAATATCACTCTACATGTCATTTCACGAAACTCTTGAAATAACTTCCAAACATCCACTCTATATGATATATGTACTATCAAACATTGATTTAATATCATTAAACAAAGTCACCCACAACAAAGGGGCTTCCTAGTGAGGGGAATAGTTTTAAATTTGTCACAACTGTTTCTTTTTTTTTGTTGCCCAGAGATTTCCAGACATCTAAATCCGGCTCTAGACACAAGGTTGTTCCGATACTGATCGACAATTGCCCGAGAAATACTTGTACCTGTAGGTTGCATTGTCAGTGCTATCGTCCGCATAGCCATGAATGTTGCTAAGTTGCAACATATCATTTATATATAGAACAGGGTCGGGTTTAGAAGACAAACATTGTGTGGTGTGCGTACACGGGTTTGAGGTAGAAACATGCTCTGTCAATGACGCCCTTGATGCTCCGATCAGCGGGAAAACTGGAAATCCAATTGCATAATAATCAAGCAACGCATAGCATCAAAAGAAGCTCTTTGTGACCCGATCGAAGGCTTTCGCTGTCCAAACTTACCGCCAGCACCTCCTTCTTGGACTCAATTGCCTCTCCTCTGGACTAGACGGACGGCCACCTATAGATCTCTCGCTCTCGGTCAATTGTCAACCTAGACATCTGTGCCGCTTGAACCTATTGATTTTTGTACGTGCGTAATTGTTAAAAAACATCGTAAGAGTGTTAGGTAGCTAAGGTCTAATGTAAACGGTCTAATGTTTTAACTTCCCTTACACCCCAATGAGGGATATGGCACATTTTATATATTATTCAAAGCTAGTAGACCAATTAATTAAAATATCTACTTTCGCGGGAAGACAGGGCACTATACTGCGGTGACCATCGTACGTACTGTATTATTGTTTGGTAATATTATCAACTTCATACTTACGAAGACTACTACTTACCCAGCTCCCTACTCGATTACATGGTGCTGCAGTCGCAAATGCGATGTATTTCATTTCTTACAAGATACAAAGATCCAAAGTCTATACTATAATAAATACTACGTATGTTTGTTATTTAAGAAAAAGTAGTAAACATGTATCTGCAACTAATTTTACTTTCTTTTGCGAACTAGTGAACCGTGGAATCGACACCCGGTGGGTGGCTTCCCTAAGATATGACCTCCAACTATTCAAATTTAAGTGTACTCCTCCGTCAAAGGCCGGTAACGCACCAATTAAAAATGGGCGTCCATGGGCTGCGATGACTGCCCTTTTTGGGCATCCCATAGGATCGTTTGCCCCCCAGTTATATAAAAAAATTTACGTCTTTTAATGCCGAAATTAGCGTTTTAGTTTCTTGCACTGATTTCACAATTTGGCTAGCGAATATAATTTTTAAAAAGATTAAAGGCAAAGTAAAGTTCGCATCTCTTAAACTTTTTGCTTCCTGTCATCTAAAGGTGTCGCTTCCTTCGGTTTAAGTAATCTACTTAATGTGATTCTACAACTTCAAACTTAAATCGTTAGTAAACGTTATCCAACTCGATAACACTGGAGGCAATCTACAATAAAGGATTTTGATAAGAAAAACGAGCTTTGGTGAGGATATTTTATTCCATAATACAGCAGTAAGACAAACCGGAATGTCACATTTTGCTTCAATAAACCTTTTCATAAAATTAAAAAGTACTCTCTTTACCACACTTTCCATAATTATTGTATCCTTGAATTGTGTAACAATCTCATCTAAATTATTATAAAAATGCTAAGTTATAATTAGTTGTGTAAGAGCGAAGTACCGTAGAGGATTCCGACCGCTTCCCGTACGCGGAACTTCCCAAATGACAGTAATCTAATACATAATACACCTAAATTAAATATTATAATCGGTCCGTCGCGAAGTCATCCATAAATGCGGCTCATTCGACGACGAACGGGTTTCTGATGTAAATTACATAACAGCTTAATCTACCTAGTTAACTTCCGTAAAAAATAAACTATAATCGTACAATAAGTCGAATAAATGGAATATGCACAAAACCGATGGCTCCGAGCGGCGTTCGAAGCGATGCGAAATAGGTCGGGGACTAATATGGGACTCCATAGAAGTCATCTGCGGCGAAGTCGGACACGCGCTCTACTTCTGCACTGAAGGTGCACTACGCTAACGAAAATCATAGATGTCAATTAACTTTAAATACTTTATTACGACAACTTATTCCATATTACACTTATAAAACATGTTATGTGATTCACTATCACGTCAGTCACCTATCCACATCACGATGGCAAATTAAGAAATTTCGCATTTACAATATTTGTTCAACGTCACACACGAGAAATAAGTACCGGGTGCGATGAAGAGAGATCCGGCCACCGGAGGAGACAAACTAAAAACAGTATTCCGAAGGGTTGAAGCGGCGGCCCGGGTGGATCGACGCGATACGCTGTAATACATTTGATTCACATAATACATTAGCAAATAAATTGAAGTTAAACCATAGTCTCTGAGTGTGAAGTGGGCGGTTAGCGGTTGGCGTTCTTGAGCTGGTTGGAGAGCCAGTCCAGTCCCTCATAGAGCCCGTCCCCGGAGGTGGCGCACGTCGCCTGGATGTACCAGTTGCGGTTGCGCAAGGAGTGCAGGCCCAGCTTGTCCGTTATCTCGGCCGCGTTCATCGCGTTGGGCAGGTCCTAGGCAGGGAGATGTTTAAAATATCAACTCTAGGCACAGGCTCTGAAAAGCCACTAAGGTTACGCACAACGGACCGAATGGGCGCCTAACTGGCAAAGCTGAGTCCACAATATTCAATTACATAAAACTAAGTACTTGAGAGACTTAAAAGAAAAATAAATGGATGCTCTTCATACCAAAACTTTTCTATAACCAAGTTTCGGTAGGAGTTATTTTTAAAAGATCATCGAACATCAAACGAATAACCACCAAGTAAATAAACATATGTTTAAACTAAAACATTTACTATTGAATTTAGCTCAAGATATGCCCCAAAATTAACTACATAGTACTGCGTCACATAGCTTATCAAGGCCATTGTAAATCTTGTTGATATGATTATTAATTTCCTGCTGCATATACAATTTATTTTAACTGTGTCAACTATTGTAAAAAGATAATAAATTATATATTATTATAAGCGGCACGTAAGTCTAGCGCTGGCCGATACGTGGAGGGGATTGTTGCGCATGTGTACTGTCGCGCACGCAATACATACTATGCCTCAAATATATATGGCTCAAATTTACAATGTTGCTGTCCGAATGACTGAACAAAGTATTTGTAGCTTCGTCACTTTGGATTTGTTTCAAAGAATCAATTAATTCGTTAAATTCCCTTTTTAAAAAACAATTCACGTCATAAACCATTTTCCTGGCTTGTCTTTTCAAAACAGTATTTGTTCTAGGCATATTCACTTTAAAGTCACAAACAAACTTAAAAACAAATAACAAACAACAAAACACTAACAAATTCAAACGTAACAAAAAACAACAAAACGTAACAACAGTACGGAATGCGACTGGAGAGCCAATCGACGCTACGCGCGCCCGCTCTTCATTCCGCTAGCCCCCCTCAGGTACCTTATTTTTTACTTCTGCGCAATAACGGTCAGCGCTAGAGTTTCGTACCGCTACTTGTACCAGAAATTTTATTGTTACATGTTCAGGCTTAGTAGTATATAAGACAAGTAACTTTCTCGTCTATTTATAAAATTTTCCCATGATATTTTGGTTAGTAGACATATTTTGCTTAATAATTACATAAATAACACCTCAAAAAATAAATTGGTGTACCTGTTTGTTTGCAAAGATCAAGAGTACTGCGTCCCGCAACTCGTCTTCGCTTAACATTCGCATTAGCTCCTCACGCGCCTCTCCTATACGCTCTCTGTCATTACTGTCTACAACGAAGATAAGACCCTGCACACAAATATATTATTAGGAAAAAATATAAACCAAATAAATATAGATTACACTTTAATCTATAAAAAAGGTCTATTATGTTTCTAAATATTAGTTCTCATTATTAGCATGCTTTTTCAGCATGCATATCAATATCGTTTTTAAGTATATTTCAACTTACAAAAATGCTTTTTAAAAAATTCCTCAGATCTAGACAACATTATTTATCCACATATTTTTAACAAGTGTCATAATACCAAATAAATATTTTTAATTATTACAATGGCACTTTGCTTTGGCGTTTTGCCTAGTTAGTTTACTAATCAAGGCCAATATTTTGTTTTTCTTTACCTGCTAGAGCTATTAAGTATGATGGAAAATAGTAAAATGTAGGTTAAATTGCACAGCAGGAGGTCGAGTAAAGTTCAATTTAAAAATATTTTTTTAACTGATATGTATGTAATAGACAAAATCATAATAAAAAAATGTGTTTAATCCATAAATTAAAAAGGATCTTATAGTTTAATATTTAATTTTTTTTCACTATATTTAAAATATATATCTCTTTGGAATTTTAAGTAAACATATAAGCAATGATTATTGACAGTGTGTGTGTGTAATGTTAGTGAGCATAATGCAAAAACAGATTTTAATAGAAACCCAACAGCAGTTATTCAATGGCTTAGATACAAGTATGGAGCTGCATCCAAATTAAAAATCGCTAAATAAAAACATAGCACACAAAATTATATGAATATACCTGTGTGTTTTGGAAGTAATGCCTCCACAATGGTCTAATTTTGTCCTGACCACCAACATCCCATACAGTAAAACTGATGTTTTTGTATTCTACTGTCTCCACATTAAAGCCTGGAATAATTAATGGGTGTTATAAGTTATCACAAAAAAATTACATTTATAATATATAGCTTAAATAAATTATGTAATTAAATTTTACTTAAAAATAATATAGGTTTAATCAGAATCCAATTTGTTTTAGAAGTGTTTAACTGAGTGCAATAATCCTAGAGTATAAAGGATTTTTCAATCTTAATTCTCAAAATTATATAAACCTTAAAAACAGTTAAGATTTTGTTTCCTCAGAGAACAAACACAGGCAGTTTTAATGGTTTACCATTATATACAATTGATTTAAATTAGTAGAAAATTACAACAGACACTAAATTGACCTTTTATTTTATCTATGTGTGTAGTTATAGTGTATATAGTCACGATATATGGCTTTTGGTCTTAGATTAGATTCCATTGTTTAAGTAAATTTATAGCAAAACATTAAAATGAAGACAACAGTATATAACTATCACTAAAATACTTTTAAACTGTAATTACACAATTTGGCATTGACAAAGCTCTAAAGTTAAGCAACTAACTTGATAAACAGTTTAATGAGTTCAACTAAAAATGAAAGGAACTAATGCCACATGACATTACTTGAAATACAATACTTTATACATGATTAATTACACAAATAATGTTGTATTACTTACCAATTGTAGGAATTGTTGTTACGATTTCTCCTAATTTGAGTTTATATAGAATTGTGGTTTTACCAGCTGCATCCAAACCAACCATCAATATTCTCATTTCTTTTTTGCCAAATAGGCCCTTAAATAAATTTGCAAACATATTCCCCATTTTGGCGACTTAAGTATAATCTGAAAGAAATAAAGGATAATTGTAGATGTAATGCTACTTCTGACTCATCGGTTGCACATTCAATCAATGGAATGAGTATTGGTATATGACATGGCAAGTCATACCCCAACTGATGCGTAAAAACTATATTTTGTTAAACAATACGACTAATAAATGGTTTGATTAAGCAATTCCCAGAAGCAAAGAGCAATATTTATGTTATAACGTATTCTCAGTTTATTGAACAAAGATTAGCCGACATCACTGTTAGTATTCTGTTGCGGTCACCACCCTCAGCTTCATAATATTGTAAAAATGTACTTTTTATCACCAATATATTATAAAATTGCAATACTTGTATTTTTTCAACCACGTACTTACATTTTTGCACAAATTTTAAACGTTATTTGAAGAATCAATCTTGAATTCAATGAAGTCACCAATTTTCGCTGAGTGTCAAAAATCAAAATGGCGGCTAACGTGGAAGTTGTTCGTGCCTATGCCACGTATCGGCCAAAAGTGGCCAGTGACAAAAATAAAAAAATGCTATGCTTTCTCCAAATCACAATTCAATATTTTACAATATTAAGCTATCTTTTAAATATCATAATGATAAAATCTCATAATACATACCTAGATATATATTATGTGACTTACTTTAACATATATTTAAAGCCCTGCTATATCGTATATGAAGAAGACGGCGATATATTATGTATAAATAAAAGTCAAAGAGGCAGACACGAGCAAATCATATAGTATACCAATACCTGTAACTTTTTTAAGGGGGTGTCACTTGACAACGCAGCGCTATCATGGTGGCAGATGTGAGCTTTCTAGCTATAGTACTTTAATCTGGAAAATAAACTTAACATAAGCTATTATCAGTAAAAAAGCTACTCAATTTCAGAAATTAGAAAGACTACACAGACACATCAAGTGTAGTTTTAGTTCGCTTCCAATGTTTATCTAATAGGCGATTTGAGTCTTCCTAGCCTGTGGTAACTCGTTAATGTGTCAACACATTATAATATGTGTATTCTCAAATCACAAATGTCAACTGTACTCTTATCAATTTTTTTTTTATACTCTTATCAATACTTGATAGCAGTGATGCCAACTTGGGGGTTTCCCCCCCAAATTTAGGGGTAATCAAGATGTCCAGGGGGTTTTTAGGGGGTACTTTATTCAAGGATTTTTTATCTCAACAAACGCACAATTCTATAAAATTTATATTAAGCTTCGAACGCAATCAACAAACTAAACCAAATATAAACTCCAAGCCTGGCTACAACTTAAATATCGAAAAACAATAATTTCATGAATCAAATTTGTTCCTTATGACCGTATGGTCAAATCATTTAACGTCAATATGTACGATTTCAAAAATATCAGCAACAGCAAAACGCAGCGCGATATTCAGGCCTTATTCCAATGTCATTTAATAATATTGTGTTAGAAGGAAAAAAAGGCGACATTGACGCAATTCGTTTTTTATTTTAATTCTGTCTCGTTTAACTGTAACAGAACAGATAAAAAAGAAAAAGTACAAAAAGCTTTAAAACAAATGTATGAAAAGAAATTGAGGAAAACGCAAAAAATTGTCTGCCAAGAAATGTTAAGAAGAACTGAATTCGAAGAAAGAAAACTTAAGAAATAAAAAATAAGAATCGTTTCATCTCATTGTTATTATCATTAATATTATTCGGTCATTGATTAACATATATAAATATGTCAAATGTACTCACATAAATACAACAGCTACTTTTTACTACTTCGACGTATTTTTAATTCATATTTGAAATTACCTCTCAAACCAAGTGTACAACAAAAAATTTAGGGGTATTTGAAGTTGGCCCTAGGGCCTAGGGAGAACATTTTGTGGGACTTGGCAACCCTGATTATTATACCAGTGTGCTTGTTTATGTTAATTGTTAAGTAATTTCAATGTTTCATGCTCTAAAAATACTTTATTTGTATTTTTGAAATAAAAATAGTAAAAAATCGCTAGGAAATGGTTAAAATGGACGATTCTGTAAGTAATTGGTTAGAAAAAACTCCAAATCACACTTGTTTTAGAATAAATAGATTAAAAGGATTTAACATACAAAAATTAGAACATATATTATTATCGGTAAGTTATATCAGACCTAATGATATAATATGTACATTTGTTTAAGGACATTCGAATCTGTTATATTGTTTTAAATTTTTTATAGCAAAGAAATACTTTGAATTTAAACGAAATACCTCAATATTTTTTCGTAAGACCGGACTGTTTAATAATATATCAATGGCCAGAAACCATAGTTAGAGAAAAAGGTAAACATGAGGTCATAGTAGATGCTGCATGTGGTGCAGCTGTTTTAAGAGGTTCTCATGTTTATGCACCTGGAGTTCTTGGGCTGCCATCTGGTAACTATGAGCCTTAAGACTGTACTTTACTTCATAGTTTTGGAGATAATAATATTCCATTGTACAAATTCACTTTATACTATTCAAAATAAACACAAAAGCTACTCTTAAAACATGCAGTTGTAAATTTCTTGGACTTGTAATTCCATGTTATTTAGGGTAAAAAGCTGCTAGCTAACCTAACCATTTACTTCTACACACATTTAGTGAAAAATATCATTACAGTAAATTTTTTTTCAAACTTTCAGGATGTACACTTGATGCTTTAGTTGATATTTATGCTGACCTTGATGAGAAATGTAAAAGAGGATTAAAAGTGGAATATTTGGGAAATAAGAAATATGTAGGTACTGGATATTTAAAGAAGCTACGCTCTCATCTTTTTGATGAAGGTATACAACCAAGGCATGTACTTATTACATGGTGACAAAATCTACCATAAAATCACATAGTCTTCGATAATGTTATGTGTATTAAAAAAATGATTGAATTGTTTTTAGTGGTGTAGCTGTTGAAACTGTATGTCCAGAATCTAAACTAGTGGTTGTGAATGAGACATGCTTTTCAAGTGGCCATGTTGTTTTACAAAATTTGCCATCTATTGTATGTGGTTGGGTAGTAAATCCTCAGCCAAATGAGAAGATACTTGATATGTGTGCTGCCCCGGGTAATAAAACAACACATTTAGGTGAAATGTCATATAATAAAGTAAGTTAAGTTAAAATTGGTTAGATTTATATCTGAGTGTTTATCCCATAAATTTACTTAAATAATAAAGAATCCTTGTGCAAAATTATTTTTCCCTAAGGTATCAATCATCTGTGCCTTCAGAGGTCTGAAAGATAATTGTACTAACATTTAAATCTATGACTCTTCAGCAAGCTAATAAACTAGTATGAAGTTCTATTAAAACTCTTGTGGTAACGAGTGCAATTTTAAAAATAGTTGAATCAAGTTTGAACTACATATTTCACATCTTTTTAGGCCTTCATCACTGCTATAGATCGAACAGAGAAAAAGGTTGAATTGATTAAAAAAAATTGTAAAATGCAAGATCTGACTTGTATCAATGCATTTGCATATGATTCAAGAAAAATTCATTCAGAATCTGGCAGTGAAAGTGGTCCACCACCATATTCATCAAATTATTTTGATAAAATACTCCTTGATGCACCATGCAGTGGCTTGGGTCAAAGACCAAGATTAATAAGCAATAATATGTCACCAAAAATGTTACAATCATACAAATATGTTCAACGGAAGTTATTCGAAGCAGTAAGTGTTAAATTCTTTGTTGTAGGAATGTTGAAATTTTAATAAGTTTTTAAATATCCTACAAGGTTGTTGCACAACAAGGAAATGTGGCCTCTGTCTATAAATTATAATCTATGTTTGAAGAGATACAATACAAATGTTAGTAAGATAATGATACTATTTTATTTATGAAAATTTTAATAAATGGTATTTACTATTTTATTAACAATTTTGACTATTTTAAGGCTGTTAAAGTTTTGAAAGAAGGTGGTAAATTGGTATACAGCACATGCACTATTACTATAGAAGAAAATGAAGGATTAGTAAAGTGGGCCCTTGACAATTTCCCAAATATAAAATTAATATCAGCCGATCCTCTGTGTGGAGGACCAGGCTTAGCTAATTCTGGCCTCACTGATACAGAAAGGTAATTTTAACCAACCTGAAGAAAGGGGTTTAATAATAATTCAATACTATTTTTTAATATGAATTGTGTTGTAAAATATAGGTTTCTGAGAATGTATATAGGAAACTTACTAACTTTACATAAGAATAACCTGACGTTTTTATTTTGCGCTCCTGTAAGTTAAAGACAATTCTTTATTATGGATTCTACTTTAAGGTTTGATCAGTTTGTGATTGCCACTATATCTTATATAGTTTGATTGATTTCATATCTTGATTCTATTTTCTGAATTTACTTCTTTAGAAAAATTATTTTACTGGATCAAACAACTACATAGACAATTGATATGGTGTGAAAACTATTAAAATAATGTTGGGTGTAAAATATTTATTATATACTAATATTGTTAACAGGGCAATGGTGCAACGTTTTGGACCTCAGGAAGACCCACTAAGGCCAGTTGACTCGATTTACAAAAACTCCATAGGTTTCTTCATAGCAGCTTTTGAAAAACTTGACAATAATTAAGGATTTTTTCGCAGGAATAAAAATGTATGACATAATCGAGTGAAATTTCATTTTAACGTCTATAACTCAAAACTACAGCCAAAAAATTTATATTTATCATTCCTTTATAATGTGTATTATACAATTTCACATTGATAGGATTTTAATATCCTATGACTAAAAGTCTATGTAATCACAATTGTTTTTGAAATAAAACCAAATTTATTGTAAACTATTTATTCACAAAATAAATACCATATTTGTATAATTATCACAATATGTAATCTCCAAATATGTTACATTGTACTAAACTATGTATAGGTAACAAATTATGTAGTTTAAACTAAGTAAGAAATAATATTTGAAGACTGGCTATTTATCTTAGTGTAGAGAAGTATTCGATTATTTATTCAGATTAGCAAAAATATTTCAAAAATCTCACGTGTCAGAAAGATATTCTTTATAAAATAAACATTATTGTATATCTGAGATTTATGTGTTTCTGTGTATCACAATTATATGGCAAGATCCACAATAAGATGGAATTTCTTTAAAAAATTGGTAATATATCAAATAAAAAGCATAGTGCTAAATGTACTTGTTACTTATATAACTATTTATATTTCACATTACATGACAAACCATATAAATGGAGAATTTATTTTGAGTGTTATAGGAATTTTTAATACTAAAAAATTTAATTGTTAATACTGTCATACCAAACTAATGCTATACAATTATTCAAAATACTTTAGTTTCAATGCAATGCTGGAAAATTCAACCATAGCACAGCTAATCAGGACTATTTCAGGAAAATATTCATATAAGGGCTTTATACTAATTCTTGTTCTGAACTACCTTTTAAAAAGTACTAAGAGATTTCAAATGAGAGTCTTTGAGTAAAAATCTTTAGCCGGTTTTCTTTATTATTTATACGATTAAGAAGTTAAGATGTACCTTTATGCGGGAATCATTGTAAAACGATTGTGGAAGTCAACTTAATAACTACTATTTAAATTAAAATATTCAACTAGAAAACTAAATTGTACTAATATTTTCTGGGAAACCATTACGACCATATAACAACGAATAATAATAACCTAATTAATGTATATTCTTCCAATCGGGACCAATCTGTATTTAGTATGTCTAAAGAAACTTTCCCCTTTTTGAGTCAGGTTTAAATTTTTTCAACACGAACATATAATCCTTTGCTAGCTTTCAACATAAGTGCACGTTTATCAAATTGTACAGGATTTTGAGTTTTCGAACAGATTTTGAAGTTAAAATTCTTTAACAGTGACACCATTGCCATTTTTGTGGACATCATTGCAAATCGAAGGCCTGAAAATAAAATCATGAAATTTAGACATAGAAAATCAGTGTTGGCCTAGTGGCTTTAGCGTGCGATTCCTCGAGGTCGTAGGTTCGATCCTCGGCTGTGCACCAATGGACATCTATGTGCGAATTTAACATTCATCCGAACGGTGAAGGAAAACATCGTGAGGAAACCGGCTCGCCTTAGACCCAAAAAAGTCGACGGCGGGTGTCAGGCACAGTATTCTGATTCACCCGCTTGCCTATTAGATTAACCAATGATCATGAAATAGATACAGAAGTTTGAGGCCTAGACCTAAAAAGGTTGGAGCGCCACTGGTTTTTTAAATTCTTAAATTAGACATATTAGATGGTTTCCAATATAACGAAAGTGGAGGAGACTAGACCATGTAAATGGTTGTAATGCAACTGTTTCTGTATAGTTAGAAAATACTATTTCCGATGAAAGGAATAGAAGAAGAAGTATACACTATACACACCTATACAAACTCTAGGTCCGGCTCCAAACGGCAAAAACAGATGAGACGTTCTGGCCGCGTTATCTTTTAAAAACCTTTCTGGTTTAAATTCTTGTGGGTCTGGATATATTTCTGGGTCCATATGAATGGCGTATATCGGTATGGACACTATTTTACCGACCTCCAGGCTAATAGATGACCCGGGTAAAACGTACGGTTTAGTAACAATTCTGTCCACTTTTGCAACCGGAGGGTACATGCGTAGTGTTTCTGAAAGGTACCCGCATTAATTAATAAATAATAATTCTTCATTTTTATTTATCTCTGCTGTTTATAAAAATAATTATATTTAGTTGAATGCAATGCATTAATTAATTTAAATATTTTAAAATCTCACCATTGAGAAATGCTTCTAGATAGTCAAGTTCTGTGAGTAGGTCATAATTAATTTCCTTTCCTTCCGTTACTTCTATGACGTGTTTTCGTAGTTTCTCCTGTAGATCTGGCCGTGTAGCTAGCACGTGTATTGCGAACGATAACAACGAACTTGACGTTTCAAATCCAGCGAGAAGGAATAAGATTATTTGGGCATCAATTGTTCCATCGTCTAAATCTGAAATTTCAAAGTTATTCAGATTTGCAAACCCTTTTGGACTTATTGGTTTTCACTACAGAAATATATACTGGATGTGAAATATAAATGAAAGACCTACTAACATCAAACAGGTCGGTTCAAAAATAGTTTATTTCTGAAAAAATGTGAATGTATCACTTAGTGAGAAAATTTAAATTAAAGGAAAGTTAGTTGTATACATCCTGTTATCAAATTATTAGAAAATCTAGCTTTATGAAATTAAAATATTAATTCCCGGCAAATATTAAAATATAATGTGTGTAAAATGAATTTTTTAAATCAAGAATTAGAATATGTACAATATTTTTTTAGAGTGCAGGTAGATAATGTTTTTTCTCCAACAAAACCAGTGTTATAAGGAAACAAATTGTCCATGACTATTTTAAGAGTACGGGCGGTCTTCCCAAAGCTCTATCAATAAATGGCATTGCGTTCGGAGGGTAAACTTCAGGGTTGAGAGTCAAGCGTGAGTCGTGTATGTCAAATCCAATACAATACACTTATTGACATACACAGACATAGTTCTCGGTAAGCCCCGTTTCTAAATCTTACCTTTATACTATAAACTTGCTCTTTCTTTTAATAGCTTAATTATGGTACATATTGCTGTCGTATTTTTAGATTTTATACTGTAGGTCATATACTTTAGAATTACAGTCTGATCGAAAACATAAATTAAAAAAAAACATTTTTTGCGTTGTCGCATATTGCAAATTATGTCATTATTTTGACGATATCTCTCCATATTGTTGGAATATCACAAACTGATAATATTTAAGTTAGATCCATTTAGGCGTTTAAGCACGTGCTACATTTCATAAGTATTCTTGAAAACGAAGTTATGTCGAATTTTTATTTACACGTGTTTTCCAACTTAGGTTACAGTTCTATAAAAATCGGTTCAGTAGTTTTTGAGATATAGGTATACTGCATTTCTGAACAGCAAGAGAATTTTTTATTATTACTTTGTATTGGGCAGGACGCAAACAAGAAGAGTTAAGTGCGTTCGGCCGCCCATGCAAAGTCTGGTATGCAAGTGCGTCGCCTTTTATATTAATATGTATAACAAAACTACTTACGCAATTCCTCTTTATCCTTTGCCTGATCCTTCTCTTTTTGCGCTGCATCAAGCATTAGTTGCAAGAAGTCATTATGCCTACAAATATACCATTTGAACTATATTAAATAATTGTTTAGATAATACAACATGTAATAATTTAAAATATCTAACTGTATAAAGTTTTGAGGATAGGTATATGGCCAGCTAATTTTAATTAGTCGTTTATATTATATACTCTTGTATTTTTATATTTGTGTTATCATTTATTAGGGTTGCCTGGAAGAGTTCCCTTAATGGTAGGGTCGCTGCCACCATTTCACAGTGCAATTTGTTTTGCAAAAAACGGTTTTATATTGTGCAATAAAGTGCGAATAAATATATTATTAATATTATTGCACAAGTGTCTGCTCAAACACAAGTACACTCTTTGTTTGCACATCTCTCCCGTAAACAGGTGAATTGGCAGTAGTATGGCTCGGGCTCCACCCTAGGCTTTATCATCATTATAAACACTCGATTATGAATTATAGCTTAAGCTTTGGCCTCTAATCACATTCTAGAGACAAAAAGGGATACTAGATATTTCATTTTACCATTAACAACACATTCTTTAAAAACCTTATCAAAAACAGACTACTAAATTGCATAAAACACAAATAAACACAAAATCTAAAAATAATTAATAAAATAAAACACCTACTTTAATGAAGAGACTCTACGTTCAGCCTTCGTAACTTGCAATATTTCATTTAGTTTACTCATTGTTTTACTATTCAAGAATGAAATATTGAGATATTTGAATAGACCAGGAACAAACATTAATACAAAGAAAATGAAATATCTTTTATAAAGAGGCATATAGTTAAACTTTTCTGCTATCTGAAAAACATAAATGAACTTTAATTTAAAACTCTGTTGCCATGCATAGCCCCTGGAAAGCACTTGAGCGGCTAAAAAATATAATGTGATACACAAATTTTATTAACACAGATTAAACTGATTACAGAGTAAACTGATTCATTGCCAAGTACTAGGGTTTGGGTGAATTCGTACAAGACGGCAAATTCTTAGTCTTATTTATACCTCATACCTATTATCTCCTGTCATGTAAATAAATATTTAATATGTTTATCAATAAGATAAGGTAAATAGGTTTACTGGCTTGTCTAAAATCATATGACTATAAGTGTTGTAAAGTATCTTTAAAGTGGTTTAATGATGAGCAACAACTAATAGTGCTCTTAACTGCTCTATGACTGAATTAGTTAAGTATATTATTTATTCAAGTGAACACTTCAGGACTCAAGATACGGCAAAACTTTAACAAATTGATTTTGAAGACGAACCTTACAAGAGAAACATTGCTCCAATTGATTACTTTGACAGTTTTGTCTGACTTTAAATTTTTATGCATATGTGAAAATTAAATATAATTTCAATTCCAGGAAGGAAATTTAAAATTACAGCTATATATATTTACATTAGGATATACATTATATTATTAATTAATTGAATATAATTTCAATTCCAGGAAGGAAATTTAAAATTACAACTATATATATTTACATAAGGATATACATTATATTATTAATTAATTAAATATAATTTCAATTCCAGGAAGGAAATTTAAAATTACAGCTATATATATTTACATAAGGATATGCATTATATTATTAATTAATTAAATATAATTTCAATTACAGGAAGAAAATTTCCAAAGTAATTTTAAATTATATTTAATTAATAATATAATATCTATATCCTTATGTAAATATATATATAAATGTAATTTTAAATTTCCTCCCTGGAATTGAAATTATATTTAATTTTCACATATGCACAAAAATTTAAAGTCAAACAAAACCATATTTCATTCTATTTCAACCAAATACAAAATGTTTTCTACATTACTATAAGTGTGTATTGAGTCTCTGTGTATTATAGTAACTCAACAAAGTTTGGATTCATATTATTCATTACCTTAACAAATTCAGCATTTTCTTTAGTTAAGGCATCACTCTTTATACCAAATGCAGTGACACTTATGACTTCCAATGTAAAATGACCCATACAATCTTTCATATCTACATCTTTGTTCTCTGAAAATAGCAGTTGTATGGTTATTAATTCACAATGTACTTCTTTTTTTACTTTGTACTTGAATTGATTTTTTAAGCTCTATTAAAATAAAGATATTCTTAATTTTAAATTTTAAAAAATCACAGAATAGTAAATAATTTACCATATAGTTTCAAAAAATCAACCATTTGATCTGCACATGAATGAATCAAAGGAAGAATATTTTTGAGACGAGCTGAGCTAAAAGTTGGTGTCATAATACTTCTAACAGCTTTCCATTCTGCACCCTAAAACACATTTATTTTAATTTTCAACTTAAATGACCAACAAATTCTTAAATTTTAAATGAATCTTGTAGGTTTGGATAAAGGAACTTTGAAATCATATATTTACTTTGTATGAATAATATATGTTACATATAAATTTCATAAATTAATTACCTTTAGGTTAAGAAGACTCCTACTTATATATTTTGGCTCCCTACTTCCTAATGTGTTCCTATCAGTAAAATGATCAAAATCTCTAATCATCACTGACTTAATAAGGTCTGGGTCAAATATGTATAATACTGGTCTACGGCCTTCAAAGACCCCTGAAAGTTACATCATTTCAATGAGTAATGTGACAATATAAATGTATATTATACCTACATTAAAACCAAATATAGAAAAAAAGGTCACTTACCACCAAAGCGGTTTCCTTTGAAATGCTTGTAAATGTCTATTTGTAATTCATGAAAAGATTTTGTTCCAAATACTCTCGGCCCCAAATTTCCCAGGAAAATTACTGGCTTCATGAATTTTATTCCTTTGTTTTCAAAGTAATCAAATGAACTTGTGTAATGAAAGTATAAAATAAATAGAACAGTAAGGCATAACAACAACTTCCAATCTTCTTGAATAAATATAAGAAAGTTTTTCGTTCCTGTACTAAGTTCCATTTTAAAGCTTTAAATTTGACTAAAAGTCAGATGAATAAAATTATATTAATTTATTGTACATACGTTTAATTTTTTAAACGTATACAGTGATAATTTGAATTAATCACAATTTACAAAAAGACACAAATGAGGAATGACTACTGACTGAGTAGACTGAGTACTGAGTACTTGAGTAGTGAGTACTGACTACTGAGTATTTTTTTTTTTTTTTTTAAATAGCTTCACGCAGAGCGTATTGCCACAGACAAAGGTAAGGAAAACGGAATAGTAAGGAAAAATAATTTTACATTGTAAGAAAATTACATCGGATATAGGATAGGCTATAGGATCGGATATAGGATCAGCAGGTTATAAAACTATCTCTAATACAAAATACTACATTATAGAAAGGAACAGTAATTAATAAAATATATATCATATAGAATACGATTTGTATACATATGTATTTACAATTTTATATTATTTACAGTAAGAAATAAACATAACTTTTTATATACATTATGATTTAAAGATGAAAGCAGAACAGGAACAGATGTAGGTAACGGATACTGGAAGAAGGATGAGGATGATCGAATAACATGGAGTGGTTATACCGGGGACAGGACAGAATATATGATTTAAATCACCAATATTCAGCCCACATTCACACATTTCATTATCAATAATATGAAATCTGAAAGGTGGGCTGGGGTCACACATGGCCCAATCTCATACGAATGAGAGACGATGTTTCCTTTTTATTAAATTTCATTTTAAAAAACCATGGCTTAATGGTATTGTGGCTGTATAGATGAAAAATATTTACCCTTAATTAAACTGCTCTGAATCCAAAGGTCAGTCCAAGATTGTCGAAGAAAAGAAGCAGGAAGTGAGGCCAATCATGATAATAATTTTTATACGAGTTACTCCCATCCTTAACAGCTTCTTGCTAGTTGGTCTGCTATGTCGTTACCAAAAATACCAGAATGTCCAGGTATCCAACCAAATGACACAGACAACCCCAATTGCTTACATTCATACAACAAACCCCTAATCTCAATAATGATAGGAAAAATTAATTTGTTTTTAAATGGATATTTTTGGAGAGCTTGAAAGAGCACTAAGTGAATCTGTGAATATGATTGATTTCTTAAGTTTCTTACTCAAAACTAGTTTTATAGCTTTAAAGATACCGGACTACTGAGTAATGAGTATAAGTTATAACTAGGGATGCTCGATGATCGATCGATGTTGAAAGCAAAATCATCGATGTTGCTATACCAAAAATATCGTAACATCGATGTTAAATAAATCGAACATCGATTTTAATTCACGGCCTCCCGCATGACCAAAGCAACTTACGAAACAAATTATGTCTTTTATGAACGCATCCACACAACACATCCAACCAATCAGGTTATATGACATCATTAACGTTTTAACTAGAGATGACCTAGTTATAACGTTAACGTTTTTCTACGTGAGTCGTGAACTAATTTATCGTAATGCAGCAAGGCTTTGTGCCTACTCCCCTACAGTCTACCGAGTACCTTTGTTTAGTTAAATTAAACGTGTAAGCTGTGGCGTTAGTCTGCTCAGAAATCTGGACTGACAATTACCATTTAAATATATTTTAAAAACATCGCAACAAGTCAAGAGTTGTATTCTTTACTCTAATTTTGAATTCCGTAGAATTCTGACATTTCATAAGTGTTGCTACTAAAAAAGTTCTCCATTGAAAAAGGGACAAATTTGACTTAAACACATACAAAAATAACAAAATATATTTTAATATCACGAACAATATATCGAATTAACTTTAATTACTTTATTTTATTCTTTAGCTGGCATCACTGCGGCACTGCCTACTAATGTACCTTATGTAATTCTATGATTCCGACTGAAGGACTCTGTATCCAAGGTTATGAAATAAATTATTTAAAAAAAAAGCCTACTAATGTCAGGTTTAGTAAACCTTTAAAAAAATGTTATCTTTACTTGTGCGTTTTTTACTGTTGTGATGAAAAGGAACGTAAGTACCACTAGCCGTTAAACCACTTTTAATGAGGAGCACCGCACTTAATAAAATGGGTACATTAACTAACAATAAAATGTATATATAGACTCAGATGTTGACTCGTATTGAAATTGAAAAATGTGCCCGGCCAAAAAGGTTTGCTATCACTGACATGTCAAAAAATTATAGCTGTCAGAATTCTACGGAACTGAAAATCAGAGTATTAAAAAATATATAGAGTAATATTATTAAATATTCATTAATTTCCTGAACAAGTTTATGTTTCTAAATATCCTTTTGTACATCATCTAAAGGGGGATAGCCTTACTAGATATTTATTTTCGATTAAAATGGGAAAAACTTCTAAAGACAAACGAGATATTTACTATAGGTTAGCCAAAGAGGAAGGTTGGAGAGCACGAAGTGCGTTTAAATTACTGCAAATAAATGAAGAATATAAAATTTTTGATGGTGTACTTCGTGCGGTTGATTTGTGTGCAGCGCCTGGTAGCTGGAGTCAAGTTCTAAGTAAACATTTAAGGAAGAATACAGAAAATCCAGATGATGTAAAGATTGTAGCTGTTGATTTGCAAGCTATGGCAGCACTTCCTGGAGTTAAACAAATCCAAGGTGACATTACTAAGGTATCTACAGCAAATGAAATCATTCAAGAGTTTCAAGGACAAAAAGCAGATTTAGTTGTATGTGATGGTGCCCCTGATGTGACTGGATTACATGATATAGATGAATATGTACAGTCACAACTTTTACTAGCTGCTCTCAATATAACAACACATGTGCTGAAAACTGGTGGAATTTTTGTAGCAAAAATATTTAGAGGAAAAGATGTTACACTGTTATATTCCCAATTAAAACAATTCTTTGAGTTAGTCACTGTAACAAAGCCCCGGAGTTCAAGAAATTCAAGCATTGAAGCCTTTGTTGTTTGTCAAAATTATAACCCACCACCTGGTTATGAACCTACAATGGTTAACCCTTTATTAGATCATAAATATTGTGATTTTAATCAATTCACAGGCATTAACAGATTTATAGTTCCTTTTAACTCCTGTGGGGACATAAATGCTTATGATTCTGACACATCATACCCTCTCAATCTAGATGGACAAAACACCTATGAGTATAGAGAGCCAGTGCAAAGCCCTATAAATCCACCTTATAAAGATATATTAGAAAAAACTAAAAAATTATAGTAAATATAATTTCCCTATCTTTTTGTTTTATTTATATTGCCATTGTAAATTATGTTGTAATATGCATGTTGGTGGTTTAAATAATTTATTACAGTAAAAAGTGGATTACTAACATATTACTGTATGTTTTTGTAAGGTGCTATACCTAAATAGTGAAAGATATTTAGTTTATAGCAAGCTGTGTTTGCCTGATAAAGGTGTGTGCAATAAAATGTTAGCATATTTTTAAATACATATAAATCAGAAAATATGTTTTGTATAAAAAGCAGGACAATGAGTAATTGTAATGATTATTTTAAACCAATTATAAGTTACTGTTTTAAATAGAGAAGTATGATATGGTATAATCTGTGACAAAAGTAATTTTCTAAAATGATTGGCTGAAAGGTTTGTTTTTTTTAAAAGACAATAAATTATTTTTGTCATCTTTTTGTGAGATGTGCTAGTATGAAGAGCTAGCTGCAAATTTTTTGTTTATTTTAGTATCTAAATTCCAGTTCTGTTTATTAAATTTTTAGTTAAATCTTAACACAACAATGGGAAAGTACAAAATGCCCACTGTACAGCAATTTTTGGAAAAAAAGGTTAATATACACTGGACCCAGTTATTTTTATTCAATGTTGTTTATTTAATTACAATATAAATAAATAGGTATAGTACTAGAATGTTGATAGTAAATTTATCAACAGAATAAAAATACCTGTATAATAATGACTTTTAAATATAGAATTATTTTAGAAAATCTACGATAAAAAAGAACCTGTATGGGTTTACTTAGAGAGGGAAATGCGAGAACATGTCGATAAAAAACCTTACAACGAAAAAGTTGGCGCGTGGCTACGGTTTTTAAAGGATTTAAGATATTATTTCTACTGTGAAGGTATTAAAAATAATTATGTTCGGAAAGTAACCGAACACCTTGTAAAATATCATAAGTACATTATAGTTAGATCGCCGCCTGCGCGCGACGCTTTTCTATGTGTCACACATCAGTGTGTCATCAACCATCTCCGCGATCACTCATTAAATTAGTTTTTAAGAGCAAAGGAATCTTTACATATTTAAATATCATTAAAGTGTTTTGGCAGCAGCCCGAACAAATTATATTAGGTATATACCTATATATTTAAAGAGATAATCCTAAGCGTCTTTAGACCTGCACAGACAGGTGTTTCGTTTCTTGTAATAAGTTAGGTGACAACTTTCTTCCTGAATAATTATTATTTATAAGGTCTCGAACCAAGGAACGCTAGATTAAACAAAGGGTTACTAACTGACTGACGCGCACCCAGTTTACATCGTGATGCTAATTAATATCTGATAAATTTAGGAAATTTAAGTAAAACATTTATTTTCATGATTGTTTTCTAGAAAAACGTAAGTATACACGGTTAGTCACAGAAGTTGGGCCACCCTGGTACTGTGAGTTATCGAGTTCACAAAGGGAAGTTCTTCACGACTTAAAGACCAATATACACCAGGATTTACTAGAGGATATACCAAGAAGAGTACGAAAGTCGCTATCAGACCTTGGTATTACCCTAAAAATTCCTAAACCAATACTAATGAAAGCTATGAATGCATCTGTAGAAGATCCTGGCGTTTTTATATGGAATCTATATACCGAATACTATAAGAAATCACCAAGTGAGCTACGGCCTGGTGAGTAAACCTAAATGCTTTTAGAGAATTTATTTTATTTTTTACAATCTGGTAAATATATTAAATAATAAGTTACCATAACCCAAACGAGATCTACAGTAATTAGAAAACTGACAATTTCTTTAGAAGATTCAAACTAATTGGTGGTTATACATTTTTGAATAGTAGGTACACGTCAGTCCTCAGTAAATCAGTCCTTTTGGACTTGTCTAGTTTTAAATCATCTAATTCTCATGTTTCAGAATATGATATGAATTCAATGATATTAATGTCAAGTTTGGTGTTCATCGATCTAGAGGAATGTATAGATAGGCTGGAAAAATTAACAGCTTGTGAAAGAGTGCCGACCAAAGTGCCAGAACCAAGTTTGTAACTCAGTAGTTATTTTTTTAATTATTACTTTAATATATTGTTTTCGTGGCTTAATTATCAACGGTAGTCGCGCTTAACCCGAAGGCACTAAGTTCGACTCCGGTGAAACAAATATATTTGTCGGGACGCAAGAATTCCTTACATTATTACAAACTTCCCCAGTTTTAGTTTCTGTGCTAAGTGGAATAAATCGAGATCCATAGAGTAAAAAAGTTTCGTGAAATAGTTTTAAATATAAACATTTCAGAGCAAAAGAAAAACACGCAACCGAATGTAAGATATGGAGAGTATTTGCAAAAATGCTACGTACCATGTTACAGTAGCCATACAAAGAAAATCACAGACAAAGATAAGCCCTTGCCTTTGGGATTTAAATTCAAACTACGAAGTGTTGAGGTAATGGAATTTTTTTACTGTGATCCAAAGTTTATTCTGTAATAAATAAATAACTCAAAAGTCGTAGCCTCAGTTTCCGAGGTAACAATGTAACAATATACTTAGGTTGACTATAAAAACGCTAAAATTATAAGGCACTGGTATACAATATATGCCCCAATACACGTTTATTACCAACCAGTTCTAAAATAGCACCGGGTCTTGACTCTGCAATCTCGAGTCGAGATATCGTGGGATTAAGAATTACAATCTCGCGAGATTTCGGTATTGTCGAGATCTCGGGTAGTTTTCGAGAACCAATTGTTTTAATCGAACCTCTGAACGATGAAAACTTAAGAGATTACTTCTATCTATCTATCCTAGATATTTAGAAGTGATTTTGGAAATAACTTCTTAAGAAGTGATTTTGGAAATAACTTCTTAAGAAGTTTTTTTAGACTATCGAGTGTGCTGTCTGCTGTAGATACATTCTACACCTAATTGGATTCTTATGTATAGAATATTAAATTACATTCCTATTGTTCTAATCACTTGACTAACAATTTTAAATCTTGATCATAATATAATGTTCAGTTACTAATATAACTAACCTTAAGAGCCCCCTTCCCCGTCCGACGGTCGTCAACGCGAGCATGGCCAAAAAACTTGTTGTTTCATCCAGCGCAATGTCAGCAAGTGAGAACGCGATAACATTGAAAGAAAAATAGTGTGCGGAAATTTCATAAAACTTGTTCCAAGAAATACGTGTTTTTTCGTAAGCCTTACAAGATTATGAAAAAAAAGTTTTACATTTAGAAACTCCATTACATTTGCAAGGTTTCTATGCAAATATTTATTTCCGGTTACAATTAATGAGTACATTATAAACGCCTAAACTTCATATAAAATTTGTGCAAATAGGCTGATTTTTGGAGGTTTGTACTGAATTTGTTTCTTAAAATTTTGACTTCGCGTTTTAAGAGAAACCTAGATATAGTGCACAAGGAGCCTATTAGTTCAAAAGTTTCAAAGAAATATCTGTTACAACGCCATAATCACGTACGAGCGTTTGTATGAAAAGATAGACGGGTTGGCCGCTGTTAACATATAATAACTAAAATATATTATTAAAAGGAGTCCCTTTAGGCAAGGTTCCGAAGATACTGGCAGTGGTCCCCCTTTGAATAGCTATACTCATTCTTTGTCCGAGGTAGCTGCCAGATCTTCGGAACCTAATTAACTAATATTAACTAACATCTACAATCATCTATATGTATGAATATTTAATTGTATTTTCAGAGTTATGAAAAATTATGCAAGAATCAGTCCTTCGTAAGTACTTCTGGTACTGTTTGAAAGTTTTATTAAATAATTTTGCAATTAAGTCCTTGTAGAACGTAGATAGTGTAAAGGCATACAATTATTTCTTATATGTTACGTGTTAAACTTTTCTTTTTAAATTGTACAGCTCGAAAAACGAAAAGAGCGAAATAAAAAACAGAAGCAAGAAGAAAGAGTGTGTAATTACAAATTTTGGGAGCCGCCGAGTACTTTGCGTAAGTTCTACCGTTCAAAGTTTCTGCAAAATTATATTTATGATTTTCTGATGAGTTTAATTTCAGTCAGATACCTAATGTTCAATCAAAATTATTACTAACCTTGCTAATGTCAAACATTATGAACGATACAGATTTTGCAATTCGTTTGAACCACCAAATCACTTAAAATTTAAATGACAACAAAGGTTTTAATAACCAATTCTATAAATAAGCCTAATAGAAAATATGGCTCTATTTATCCTAAATTTATATCAAGACCTGGACAGCGATTCTGTAACTCACTTTTCGAAATACACAGCGGTTTTCGCATCGGCGGTCGCTCTGAAATCAGTCGTGAAGCAGTCATTTTATGATTTGGCATTCTGATAAACAATAAACTACAAGCTCCCACCTTTTCTGGACAGCGAGTAGTCTCAAAATATTTTTTTAACAGGTAACAGAAATCCCAAAATGGCGGCTATGGCCAACAAATTAAAAGAGCTGAAGAATAAACCAAAGCCAAAGTATAAAGCGCCCTACAAGAACGTTCAATATAACATCTGTGGGGTGGCATTTAGTGGTGGGAAACCTAATTATTTAATAAATGGTACGTTATATTTCATATTCTCTTTCAAATTAGTGATCTAAAAAAGTAGATATAAATGTATTATTTGTCATATATGTTTATTCACCTACCCCTCACCGCCTTTATCCTCGTGCCATGAGAGGATTTGAGAGGACAAGCTTAAATATTTTCTGTCCCAATATCCCTAATATATATACGTATACATTACATATTCATATCGTTAGAATATGTACCTTTCTATATATTTATGGAGTACAATCGCCAAATTCTAAACTCTTTTCCTAAAAAACGGGCCCCTAAATAAAATTTACCTCCTAAAATCGATCTCAGTTCAATAAATGAAATTTAATTGTCTGTATACTTATAATCGTGTAATAATACACATGAAGTGAATCTGTCAATTTTTATACTATTTTTTTGTGAATTCTTTAAAACCGATGTACGGTCAAACAATAAGAAGTGGTCGGTAATAAATGCTCGCCCGCACCGTTCTGGCGACGTAATGCAAGAAGGTGGGATTCGTCGTTTAGATTGGCCAGCTCGAAGTCTGGGATATTCTCACCCTAATATTTTATTGTATTTAAGGTGTGTCCTTATTACCAACTGGTTTCGTGCCAATAAATGCTGGTCTTGTGAGTGTGGGCGGTGAACAAGTCACAACTATTGTCGGATACTGGAAATTTCCTCGTACAGTTGTTGCAAAATGTGACGGGACTTGTGATTGTAAAGAGAAATGGTATTTTTTCTTCCTACCGTTAATTTATATCTTGAGATAATAGTGTATTTTATAATACTTGTATTAACTTAACGTTATGTTTTTATCTATATTGTGTATGTATAAAACGTAAATACGTGATACATGACAGTAACGATTGATTAGTCGGATGATTCAAATAAAAACTACTTAAAGTACCTAACCACTGACTCACTCACTCACTCCCATGCACGCGTGAGTTATACGGCAAAAAAAAGTAATTAAAAAGAAAAAATGTTAAGTATGGTATTTACTAATTACTAATCAAGTTTGTTACAGAAGAGCTGGGAACCATGACTCATGTTTTTTTATTATATCTGACGCATTATAATGAATTGTTTCTAATGAATAATCAATAAACTTATTTTTACTTTATTTATTTTATAAATAATATGCTTATACTTCAATGTCTTAACTTTTTCTACTCCAGGTGGAGTTATCTAATTGACATAAAAATCTTGTCATAATAATTTAATTGACAATTATTTTCAATTAACTTTTAAAGTAAAATAGTTTTTGTTTGTGTATGAAGGCCATCTACAACTGCAACGTTATCAAAACTAATTTTATAATTCACAGGGAAGAGACTGTTATGGACTATTTACAGAATTCGAAATGTCGATGTGGTCATCTTTATGACTACAATAATAAGGGCAAAGTCACAGATAAATATTTCTATCCACCAACGAGGCACGGAAAACACTGGTTTGATTCTGCGAAAATATTTCAAATGGATTCATTGGAAGACTTCATTCGGGATACTGTGAAAGACGCTCTTATGTCTACGGAGCCTTCGGTATGATTTGTCGTGGCTTTTGGTCTAATATATTTTGTAAAAAGAAGCAGTGTTGGCCTAGTGGCTTCAGCGTGCGACTCTCATCCTGGAGGTCGTAGGTTCGATCCCCGGCTATGCACCAATGTAGTATCTATGTGCGCATTTAACATTTAGTCGACGGCTTGTCTCAGGTACAGGAGGCTGATCAAACACTTGCCTATTAAGTAGATTGACAAATGATCATGAAACAGATCAGAAATCTGAGGCCCAGACCTATAAGTAGGGCCACTGATTTATTTTATTTTTATTTGAAAAAAGATAAAAGTGAAAAAGTCGTAGTGGAAGTCGTATGATAGCGATTAGTCCATTATATGCGATCCATTCGCAACGTATTGTAAGTATTCAAAGATCATTTTCTCGACACCTTGCATTCATTCGTACAGGATTTTCTCATACGCACCCGTACCATCAGCGACTTAGGAAATTGAAATGATGTCAGTATACGATCGGAGATCTCTAGCCGGTGTTACATTTTTAAATAACTCGTTAAATGGTCAAATACAGAACAGTAATCTCTTGCATTAATATTGTCGTCCCTTCATTCATAAGATTCAAAAGCAGCAGAATTTCCAAATTCCGTTTGCAAACCCCAACCAGTCATTGGAATTTTTCGCGAATATAACAGAATAAACACTACTTATCCAGTGCTTGATATATTCGGTAGTGGGCTAATCAATTTAAAAAAAAGTATTGTTAAGAAGTATATCTGATACCTAATCCGCTATTTAAAAAAGATATCTAAAATTGGAACTGTAATATATTGATTTTTTAGTAACATTTATGTTTCCCATAATCATCATATATTTTTGAAGCTTGTAACATATACTGTGGATAACACATTATAATATAATATGATGTGGTGAACTTTAATAAATACATTAGGCTGCTCAGTGTCCTCCCAAGTTTCTTTTTCTATGCAATTTATATTCTCTACTAATATAAATAGTTTAGGACCATTACATTTAACTAATAAAACTAGTTTTAGGGGCAGTGACTTGCTTAACACTGCTCTTCAACCTATTAAATTTTACTTTGATTTCAGCGGGAGCCCTCAATGCCGACTCTACTACCGTCTGGTTTAAGGCTGCAAGATTTATTGGAGGTACTTTTATTTATTCTGATTCTTGATAACTTTCCGTTATTTAGTCACGCACGATCGATCTCTGAATCGATTATCACTTATTTATATGTCCCTTAACTATACGCTTTAAAATAAAACAACGAGAATGAGCAAAACATGTATGCTACAGGTCATTTTTGAGTTTTAGTGTTGCTCTGAAGTTTTTTTTCTCGAACTCTTCAGGCCAACAGAGAAACTCGCTGTTGGTCTGAAGAGCCTCAACAGCTCAGGTCAACTATATTAGCTGAATGCTAGGCCAGAATAGCTCTGAAACAATATGTCGTTATCAAGAATCAAATCAATCACCACATAAATAATAACTCGCGACAGTTAATTGACAGCTAAATAAAAATTGTTTTCAGGCGTTTTTAGCAGAATTGTCTGACACTCCACTCTTAATTCCTCATCTGCCAAAGGCGTGCCTCTTGAATAACCTGTTAGAGTGGGTCCGCAAGAGGATTAAAGGAAAAATGACACCTGCCGATCATAGTACGTTCTATTGTCTTTGGTTTATGCCAATACTTCAAATTTAAACTAATATACGCAAATAATTACATTATTTGATAAACGCTGAGTTATCGCTCGCAGTAGAGTGGTACCTACACTTGCTTGATGTAGGCGTATAAATAAAATTAAAACGTTTCCTTCAAAAGGGAGAGGGCATTTTGTATTGGCAATATGATGAAATGAAGTATTTAGATTGATGATTTGTAACTGTTTACCGAAATAGACAACGATATATCCAATTTCAACTAAAAACTTATTTCAGAGAGATTAATCCTTCAATCGCAAAGACGATGGCTGGATCTGAAACATATCGATTTCCGGGCTATAGCCTACAGAATACCATTCACATTGAAACAATTGGAACATATGAATTGGTCACATCGGTATCTCATACAAACACTGGTAATTATTAGATCATTTCATTATTTTATTCTAAAGTCGGGATTAAGAATCAACTACAAGAAGTTGAGGTTTAAAGACAAATTCTTAATATTCTAATTGCCAGTCAAATTAATTCTATTAATTTTATTCGTTAATAGATAAAATAAATAACCTACAAAATTGTAAATTTTCTTCCCTCTTCTTTGAGATCCGTTATAAAGATAAATTGTCAACAAAAGTTCTTCTATTATTAAAGTGGTCTTAAGTAAACCTAGTGTTATTGTTTGGTAATGTGTCGATTTTACTAGAGTAAAATTTTTGCAAATTCTCGACAGGCTTTTAAGAAAAATCTACTATTTTTCTTAGTTAAAAAAACTAAAAAGGTTGACAATTCGAAACGAATTTTTTTTAATATTTTTTATTCTAGAAACATTGCCAGTAGTAATTTTATACTATTTCTTTTTTCAGTTTAAAATACTGTTGGATAATTTCGTAACAAGGAATAGACTGCAACAACTTACGCAAACAAGGCTCTGGTGGACAACCACTAAATATGATGTCTATCCTAGTAAAGCTTTCTTGTGAGTTTTTGTATTTTTGAAAATCTAAAAGTTTTTCTGTGAAACTTCTAGTTTCTGTCCATATAGTCATAAGCTATTGTGTAATGTTCCTTATGTATTTGTCATATTAGATTCTAAATAATTTTTATTATTTTATTTTAGGGACATATTTTTCACGTATATGCCTGGAAGGATGAAAGACACATTTTTAATTAACCCATACAGTTCAGAACTAACGCCCAAGTATGGGGCCAAAACCTGTCCCTTGGGGAACTAACAAAGAAATGTTATATATCTACTTGTGTTTTCTTATGTTGAAAAGAAAATACATTGTTTGTTTAGTCTGTCTACAACATATTTGTTCTTTTAGATGTATAACACATTATCAATGTTGTTAATGTATAAGATAAGTGTTAAAAAAGTAGTAAAATAGTCATACGTATTTAGTTTTATTTTGTCTTATAGGCATGTACTATATCTTGTTAACGAGGAAAAATATTAAGGAAAGCTGTAATATTTTCAAGCAGAAATTTTGTATTTGTAGATTACTTTCTTTCTCTCCAATTTGAAATTGGTGCAAACACTTGATAAAAACATTTTTTCGTACTCCTTCAGCTAACATATATTATATTTAATAAAAACAATTATTCTAAACATATAGCCAAGATGTAATGCATAATATAAACAAGAAGGTTCAAATATTACAGAAGGAAAAAACTTCAAAAAATAAAAATTATCCAATGCTATAAAACTAAGTAATACCTAATTTGGCTGTGTTGTGTAGTGTAAAAGGGAGGGTATGTATGTACGTGAGGGTACGTATGAATGTGGGATGTGCTAAAGATGCAGGTGATTTTTCGCTATGGATATTCTTAATACTCCTTTCAAGTATATTTCGCGATATATGAAACAAGTCAAGGCTTAAATATGTCGTGGTATGTCCAGGCCGCGCGATACTAAACTGAGTTTTTGGCATAGTTGGTGTTGATCTGAGGAACGCGAAACAAAGCACGATTACGATTTGTTATTAATATTATACTGAGGTTAACTTTTTTTTCTCTCTAGTGAAGTATTGACCGATATTCTATATTGACAATAATAATAACAAAATTTGTTCAAGTAAGCCTGGATTTTGTGACGGTCTCCATCTTTTTTACATACCTTGTTATTAAATTTAATTAATAATATAATAAAAAATAATTATTAATAATACTAATGAATAATTGAATTATTATTTATATTTAGTATATTTACTAAATATTAAATATTCTTAAATTGAACGCTAAATATTTATTATTAATTATTTAATATTTAAAAAAAATAAAGAAAGCCAAAGAAGTATAACTTCTTACGCGCGTACATAAGTACACGGACCATTTTTTTTTATCATCAGCGAACAAGGTAATAAGAATTTGTAATGCTACTATTTATGTCATAAAGATATGCATTGAATAACCGGGGTCCTTATATAGATCCTTGCGGAATTCCAGAGCTTATATGAACAAAGTTACTTCTAGCACTGCCTGTCTACGATTTGTTATATTGGAACAGAACCACCGATGAAGGTCACCACGTGATCCTAAGAGTTGGAGCTTGTGCAATAGAATAACCCACTCTATCAAAAGCCTTCTCGAAGTCTGTGTAAATCATATCAACTTATGCACCACCACCCATACTTTGTAGTACGTAGTTAGTGAACACTTTTAAATTGGTTATAGTAGAACGATTATTATAAAACCTTGCTGTTCATTTGGAAGTGAATTATTTATTATTGTATGTTGTGTGTATGACTTTTTAAATAATATGGTCAAAGACTTCACTAAAAATGTTAGGTCACTAAAAATATTGGGCGATAGTTTTCAATACTCAACCGCGATTTACTTGTTTTAATTATTCGTATATGCTGTAATGTAGACTACATTAACTCCATAGTTGTCATCTATGAAGTTATTGTAGTCTACTTCGAAAGTGATTTTTTTTTGGGGGCCTCATAGCCTAGCGGTCTTATTATGTGCCAGCTAGGTGAGGGGTACCGGGTTCGATTCCCGGTTCGAGGGCAAGTTTTAGTTTAATTTAATTATTTAATAATTTGGGTTGTGCGGTACCGGGCGAGTGCTTAAACCGTACATAGAGGACACTGTCGAATACGAATTTCTAAAAGACAAGCACGAATTATAAAAAATCCTATACTTGACGCTGGCTAGTGCACATATCGTGCCAGAGCCATAAATAAAAAATAAAGTGATTTTGATTATTGTCTGTTGACAATTGACATGAGGAAGGAACCAAAAACGACAAGGTGCAAGTCGCAATGTAAGATACGAGTTTTGTATAATATTTCTTCCAATACATTTCACTACAAATTACGAAATGGCTGCTAGGAAAGCCATACAAGTTGGCACAAAAACAGTTAGGCCTGTCCTTTCCCTAGACTCAGCAGAAGCTAGATCAAGAGTATTGAGTCTTTACAAAGCTTGGTATCGTCAAATACCGTACATAGGTTTGTACCCTGATTATGTCATCACGATTCATTCAACAAAACATTGTGGTAGTTTAATAATATTATATACTTATGCTTTTTACAGTTAAAGACTACGACATACCAAAATCTGAGCAGCAGTGCCGTGCAAAGCTAAAGGAATACTTTCATAAGAACAAAGATGTGAATGATGTCAGAGTTATTGATTTGCTTGTAATTAAGGTGAGTATTAGAATAGCCGTTTATTAAACATCTCAATATTGGTTTACAAAATTAAGCGTTAAGAACTATACTATCCATTTGTAGTTAAACATTGCTCCTGTACACTACAAATTAAACTGTATAAACAAATGCATCTTTGTTATTATTAGTTTATTAAACCATATAAGCTATGTTTGAATTTCAGGGTCAAATGGAATTAAAGGAAGTTATACATATTTGGAAACAAAAGGGTCATGTAATGACCTACTTCAAACCAACCGAGGAGCCAAAACCAAAGGACTTCCTTTCCAAGTTCTTTTCAGGACTAGAATAAGTCAATGTATAAAAATATTATTTTATAGTTAATATAGATTATTAATTCAGGAATGTCTTTTTCATGATATACTACATTTAATTTGCAAAAATTTACTTATTTCTAAGATAATAATTATTTTATGAGAGCAAGAAAATATCTAACATTTTAATTCCTATGCATACTTATTATTCATAAAAAATTTGAATTTAAAAAAAAATTACAAAGCTGTCATTTTATTGTCATCTGCTTAAAAATTTGGCTCATTGGTAATGAGTAATGGCGGCTAAGGTAACAGGCTGTAAGGCAGTGAAGCCACTTTTATCTGCTAACTATTGTGAGGCTCATACACGGGTTGTTGGCTTGTACAAGGCTTATTATCGGTATCTCCCCTATTTAGGTGAGTATTTAATCCAATGTTCTAGGGTTTTGAGTCTTTAAATAAATATACTTGATTTCCATAAGTTTTGGAAAACTTGGTTGTAACAGAGGTGACCATAAGAAAGTTTCTAGAATTGTTACTTTCAAAATTATGCAAATTGTAGTTTTAAACTGAATTACTAATAGTTTTTTAATTATACTTTATAGTAAGACAGTTTGATATTCCTAAATCTCAAGAAGATTGTCGCTGGAAATTGAGAGAGAAATTTTATAGACATGCTTGCGTCACTGATCTCCGGGTTATTGATATGTTAGTCATTAAGGTAAGTTAGATTAAAGCAGCTTAAAAAAATGCAAGATATTGTTATATTGAAAAACTAACAGACTTTATAATTGTGTTGTAAATTTAAAAAAGTTATAGCACAGCATCACTTAAAAATACTAGAAAGATATATAAAAAAATATTATATATTTAATATATTATAAAGTACGAAAAAGTGAGAAAATAAATTCAGTCGTAAGTTTCTTATTATGTTAAGCTGGATCGACTAGAATTTATTGAAACTGAAATTAATCTTGAACTATATTGTACCGTTTCAAAACGGCTACAAAGTCATGGTGTAATTATTTAAATTATTAACCAATTTTATTTTAAATTCTATATAAAAAAGTCATGGAATAAACTGCGATTCGGAGCCATTCATAAAATACGTCACACTAAAATCAGCTTTTTTTTATCCCCTCCCCCTATTGTCACGCTGTGTCACACTTTCTGTGACCCCCCCTAGAAATATTTCGTCACAAAAACTAAGGAACCCCCCCTGCTGAGTATGGTAAATTCTAAATGATAGTACACAAATTCTGAAAAATAAAAATATTTATTTAGTTATAATAAAATTTAAATAAATTAATAAATATCTTTCATAACGAACATATAAATAAAAAATAATATTTCTATTATTCAGAAGTCCAAGGATTTTCTAATAATGATAAACGACGAACGTCACGTAGCCGTATACCGTCCTCCCTAGTCCCTTGTCACACTCAGCCAGATCCCTATTCCCTCCCCTTATATGCGAACGTATTTTATGAACGGCCCCTTTGGTAAGTCAATACATTTATGAGAATATTTTGTATGTGCGGAAAAATTATCTTTAAAAATAAAGTAGCTTCCATAATTATAGTACTCTTAATAAAGACAAAATTAGCGCACCAACCACAAGGCTGCATTAAACGAGTAATTCTTTCCAAGGTAATTGTATACAAGTCGTCGGAAATATCTGCGAACCTGGCTAATGACGTCATACAAACTGGAGAGATAGCAAAAAATTAAGATGTAAAAATAAAAAATATTTTATTTGTGTACTTATTTTTATTGATACTCGTACCTACCCATCTTACATACAGCACTAAATAGGTAGTTATGTATATTTCACCAAACAGGAACAATAAACACTAAAATGCGATTACGAAAGCAAGAATAATACACGTGCGGCGTCGGCGATTGCTTGGCAACGGTACTGGATAGGCGAAAACGGGCGGGGTGCGGGGCGCCAGGAACGCATTCACGAGGTTCGCAGATATTTCCGACGGCTTGTACGTTTTTTAACAAAATCCCTAGTGAGATACAAGTGTTGTCAATAAATATATTTAAATCCTACATTAAAGTAAAACTGCTTGATAAGGCCTATTATAATATAAATGAATATATTTTAAACGATCCTAGTGCTTGGATATGAATTGCTTCAGTATAAAGAGGTAACGCGACTGAATCTCTCGGCTGCATTTCCAGACTCTAGGATCGATCGTCAACATCCACAACTGTTTTAATGTAAAGTGGGAACAAACCGTGATCCATGTGGTATCAAATTACTTCAGTATAATTAGTATTATTATTTTCTTATGTAGCCAAGTTCACATTTCAAGGATCATCATGCTCGCTTAAATGGCATTGCTTGTGGCGGCGTCCATACGTCGGGTTGTTTCTCTCCCTAAAATATGGCGAGATGGCTGGCCATGCGTCATACTCGTGAACGGGTGCTACTTGTGGCAGTCACCACCGTACTTGAATTCGTGTATGCGGTGATGTTAGTTATTTCGACAATGTATTTGCGTGTTGTTCCCACGAGAATGTAAGTGCGTGCTCCTATTTCACCATGCCTCCTACTGATAGAGGACAAATCTTTGTTTTTAATTTATTTTATAATTATTTAATATTATGTCATCTGGAACATAGTGTAATGGTTGCAGCACCTTACAACCGTTGCGTAAAACAAAAAACTTGGCGATTAAAAAGAGTGGCGGAGACTTTATTGCCAGTTCTTCTCTTCCGTTCTACGCCCTTGATTTGAGAACTGGCAGTAAATGTAAATTAGAAGCATTTAATGTATATTTTTTTGACGTTCATAAGTGTACCTTACTACCTATATGAATAAATGATTTTTGACTTTGGCGCTGTAGAAAGATTTTTTTCCTGACCGTATTATCGAAATACCTATTAACTAAACTCTTATAAACGTTACTAGGGCTACATGAATTTAAAAGAGATGACCGAGAATTGGCAACAAAAAGGACATGTTATGCATAACTGGGCTCCGACAGCTGAGCGTAAGCCATGCGACTTTGTTGGAAAATTTTTATCAGGCATTGATTGAATATTGTATGGTTATTATTCTCTGAAAATTTCATGTAATTGTGGAATAAATAAATAAACGAGTAACAAATGTATTATTTAATCACTTTGAAGTTCACATCACTAGCCTTTCTAAGGCCATAATTCGATACAAAATTATTCCAAATGTTTAATTAAATACTTGTTAAACTCATTAAATCTCAGCTTTTATTATATTATACAAAAAATGTGACTTGACTTTTCTTTTCAAAGAGAAGACCATAAATATAATAGTAATATGAACTCTTTAAAAAGATTACATCTAAACATGACAATAATCCTCGTTTTTACAGACTATGGAAAATAAAACTAATAGATATATGAATGTCTAGAGTCTGTGCTTTAAACAACCTCGGAATCGAACCTAGAACCTCCGCGTTAAGTTTACGTTACCAACTAAGCCTCTAAATGTAAAAATTTAAATCATAAATTAGAAATGGGATTTTATAAATACATAATCATGTTAATAATGTTCACGGTTTTATTACAATTCCAAGAATCACTCTTAATTTAGATGCATGTCTACCTATTATTGAAACTATAGCAGCAATGAAATAAACGGCGTTTTATCCAGCCATCAAATATATACAGTTTTATGGTTTAAAATAACTCACAACCATGTATGTTTCACAAGTTTAAAAAATGTTTTTATTGCGATAAAAATGTATTCTTAAGCACCAAACAATTTGTAGGCATTTGGTTTGATCTTTATTGTATCTTTACTGTTTTGGACCAATTATTATAAATTTGACTTATATATTGACTAGAACTGATTGAATAAATTTCATGTTATAAAACATTATTCAATCAGTCGAATCATAAATATTAAAAGCGTTACTTCCAGTTATTGTGTACTTAGAATAAACTTAACGAATACTTTACAATGATATGCCTAACTACTAAAACTACATGCATTCAACCTACGACAAACAATAATTATATAAAAACTTTTTAGTTTGATCGACTAAATAAAGATTATATATTTTTTAATAAATTAAACTATTTTATATAAAAATATTTGACTAGACTATGTCTTTCGGGTGTTTATTTTTAAAATTTCTAAATAATATAGCGTTTTTTCATATTTTAGAATTAGAAAATTATATGGATTCTTTATATTTAATAAAACACAAACGTATATAGCTACTTTTTCATTTTAAAATGGAAGATGTTACGACCTTTATAAGGTTTGTGATTTTAATATTCTCAGCACAAAACTATATTCATTATCAAAAATATTGCTTAAACATTCGTCTTAAAAATACACGGTATACCTATAAATTTTTGATGGGGTTAGTATTATTATTTATTACGCATGACTTATATATAACTTAGGATCTTAATCTAGTGAGGTCTTTTACTTCAGGACTCTGGAGAACTGGTTACAACAGCATTTTCACAAATTCTGAAAAAGAGAACATATTTTTAAAAAAAAGTGTGTGCGTGTAACCTTTACACGCGATTGAAGTAAAACTTTTTTGTCGTTGACTGCATATATCACTGAAATTATTAAATATTAACTAATTGATTATGATATTTGCCACTAGCTGGCGTATAAGTCAAGAAGCGTGGAGTACCTATATGACAATTGACATATACTTACGACCAATCCGAATTATTATTTTAAATAGCGGAACTACACAGACTAACTAACTACGCAAGTAAGCGTTACTTCCGTCAGAAAAAAATCTGAGTTACTCCCTAGTCGCGCCTAAAGAAGTTTTACTTCAAAATTATACTGTAACTTTCTATACATCTTCTTTCAGTGGTTAAGAAAAGACCATTTTCTTACCACAATTTTCAAGATTGCTTTAAGGAAGTAAAAGAGCGGGGAAATACAAAAATTATACTAAAGTTTATATGTAACAAGACAATATCTTTAATTATAGCAATCATACCCTCATAATCAATTCTCCCGTCATGATCGATGTCTCCCAATGCAAGCACCTGGTTAAGCTGCGCGTCGGTTACGGGCTCGCCGATTATCTCCAACGCAGTCCTCAACTCATCTCGAGTTATATAGCCATTGTCATCCCGGTCAAACACCCTGCAAAAGGAAAAGTTTACGTTCTGAATTGCTATAATTATTTTGCTATAATATAGAGTATAGACCCTAGTAGGTACCTACTATAACTACCCGAACAGTAGCGGGGCGTATACTTATTTTTGTTTACTCACTGTTAATATTAGGGTTCAAAATTATAAATGAAATTCTAAAATTTAAAGTTTGATTTGTTTTCAATACAATTTTCTTTGGGATATTTATTTAATATAATATGTAACTGTTTTTTATCTTATATCTTTGTTGTTATAATTTATGTAGTGCACGTTAACGATGCATGGAGATAGAAACGATCAGTACCTATCACACATGGTGATAACGTATAATCTTTTGTTTTGAATACATACTTGAACGCTGCTAGCAGATCTTTGGTGATTTCCTCTTCTGAATCACCGCCACTAGAACTAACGTCCATTCCTTGTATAGCCTGTATTTTCGTGACCCATTGCATAAAGTCGTTCTCATCTATTAGTCCATTTCCTGTAATGTACATAAAGCTATTAGTATACGGTATAATCTACATATTAATAAATGTTGTCTAATGTTCTTGACGGTAAACAGCGTCAATACAAAAGTTAGTGTACGTTTTAACGTGATATACCTAATAAAATTAAACCTTTCCGGCTTCCGGTGAAGCCTTAAGATCCTACGCGTCAATATTGACCCACTGGGATATACTGTAGATAAGTTTTTAGCGATTTTTTAGTGAAAACGAATAACTTTTTTGGAGTATCCATACATAATTGTATTAGTACAGTCTACTGCGTTCAATTTGGCATACATAGGGTAAAAGCCAAAGACTACATGGGTCGTTTGTATAATTTTAGCAAGGTCATTTTAAGTATGACAAGGATGTACATAAATGAAAGGCTCCCAATAGGATAAAGCGTGTAATTTTAATGGACCCACTTTTAGATTGTATTCCCTACATAGAATGAAGACCGATGTCGTGATTAAATTGATATAAGTAGGTAATGGCATTGATGTAAGATAGCGAATCTAATGATTACCAGTTACCGCGCAGTAAGTCGTTGCGTGTTACGGCTACGTATTTTTATCCATCGCAGGTGCTTTCTACCACGTCATGAGTTATAACAAGATCAAGGACTTGTGATTAAAAAGACGCTTAATTGAAACGTTTTGGGAAGGTTAATTGGAAGAATATATATAAATTTCCAGCTCTCACAAAGATAGTCAATAGCTCTATAGTATATTACACGCACTACCTTTTCATTTATTTAATTATTAACACTTCGTTGCAAGTTACAAAAATACAGTAGAATTAAATAAAAAGGCTACTAGCGGCCTTATCGCTTTCGAACGATCTCTTTACAGTGGTTCACAGTGCAGGCACATTGTGAGAACTTTTATATTAAAGTTAGTTACTGAAATGTTATTTATTCCAAGTAATTTTTTAGCTTTCTTATAATTTAATTGAAGAAAGTTAAAATATGAAAATAAGGCATAGTTATGATGAAGATTTCAGAGGGTTTTCTATTTTGAATTGATATTTATTTGCGCATATGTTATATATAAGATTTGATCTGTGTCGTAATTACGACAAAGGAGGTTTGTATCTGTAGCTTAAGCACGTGACTCTCAACCCTGAGATCATGCAGTTATATACAGCAGGGCACCAAAGGATTTATCTATGTGCGCAAATTATATAAGCTTGTACAGTGAACAAACAAGCTTTGGGAGGAAACCAAAAATCAACAACTTGTGTCAGTCCCAGAGGGCTGATCACTTCTTATTAAAAATAGATCAAACAAACAATATATATGTAGTATATTTTAAGTTTCTTTATTTAAGATTTAATACAAAAACATCAAAAATACTTTAAGAATAAACTGTGTACATGCATATCAGAATACACAAAAAATGGAGATATAGCAATCAAAGTACATGTCTAAAAGCAATTCTATTTGAATGTGAAACAAGGCGAAATTTACAAGTGTGAATTGTAAAGGTAAGCTTGCAGGGCACGAGGTCGCCGGAAGTGGGCCCAACACGCCATTATAAAGCCTACTGCTACAATGCCAATGTTCCCAAAATATTTATTCTAGTTGTTTAGCGATCCTTTGTTTGCTTATGTACGACTAATATTTTATTAATACTTTATCGAATACGAAATTAGAAATACATGTGTATGGCTTTTAACGACATTTCCACTGTTTTTATATTTATTATTTTCTTGTTCTATTATATCATTTTTAACTATTGTTTCTATAACAGAACAAAATTATACGGTAACAAATAGTCTAGTTTATGATTTTTTTGTTTAATACGTGATATTGCCAACATGTATTTTAAACTGACTTCTACTACACATTAGTTTTCCACGCGAGGACGCCACCCATACCGACCCATAATCAACATCAACGATACAAATAAATTTATTTGCATTTTAATGAAATACAAATTGCATTATAATTAGATAACGGGTGTAAAGAAAAAAATATAGAAACATTATGTCTTGTAAGGAATTGCAAGAATTTCTCAACTCATTGGCTCCTTAACATTAGATTTAAATATAATATAATTAGTTATCATGTATATTTATTGTATGTAGAGATACTTTAACTAATACAGTTTGTGGTAGGTACACTCAAATAAAAGCTCGTAAATCAGCTACAATGTTGAATTTAATTTATATATTTAATTTGGCATCAAAGCTTTGAGGCCAAATTTAATATTTTTGTCGCAAGATTTTAATGAAATGCTCGAATGACCTATTTTATCTGTATATGAAAAAAAGTAACAAGCTACTGTAGTCATTTTTGGCAAGACTTCAAATCGAAGTGCAAAGTGGGCGATGCTGTGTAGGAACTTTACGAGGACATTTATTTTAAACTGTAATCACATTTTGGCCAGTAGCTCATCGGTAGCCGATTAATCATAGATAATAGATTGACCGAAGCTACGTTTCAAACTACGTGATTAAGAAAATACGTTCGCCCTGGGTTGCTGCTTAAATAATTTAATAAAATAAATTGCTGTTTGTTTGTCTCTTTAAAACTCGAGAATGGCTAGTGATTTGGTTAATTTTGTCTTAAAATCTGGAAATATTTGTGGAAGTTGAGGTCTTTTGAAATCAGTCAGCTAGACTATGAGCAGATGTGTTGAGAGCTGTTAGGCGTTCAGAGCAAAATCTCTATCGAGACTGCTCCTATCTTTCAACCGTGTCTATCAAGACTTAGGATTTGTCGCCTTTTAAGCCTATTTATTGGGTCAGGTGTGGTTAGTTGCGTGGCAAGCCTATTAGGATGCATTTCTAGCTTTTTTCTGTATTTCACACTCCAGGTCTTGATCTCCTCTTTAACAGTCCTGATTTTGAGGTGTTCATGAATCTGCGACGTTTTTATAAACCACGGACAGTTGGATATTTGTTTCAAGATGTAATTTTGAACCAATGTATGATATAATATAATGTTTTGCTGTCAATTATAGAAGATTGATTTGTAAATGTTGAGGTTATTATTAACTGTTATTGTATGACTATAGCTTTAAATTGTAATTAAAGCCCTAAACTAATTTTGATATTTTTTTTTTGTGTGTGTTCAAGAATTGATCATTCGACAATTGATTTACAATTTGATGTTTTTATTTATTAAAGAAATGTTAAAAAATATATTATTAAAGTATAGGACGTCTGTCGGGTTCATTTATAAATATTAAAAACCTGAAAACAGTTTTTGTATTTTGTAAACAATATAAAAGATAATATAAAAAATATGTTAAAACATATATAAATATGGACACTTACCAGTTTTACTGGCATCCTTAATAAGTTCCGCTATTAAGTCATCACTGACTTCGATGCCCAGCTTTTGCAGCATATACTGAAGCTCTGCCGGTGTCACGTGACCATCACTATCCCGATCCAGTAGGCCGAACGCTGTTCGGAGGTCTACGAAAAACCAAATTGAACTTCTTAAAAAAATTATAGACAAGTTCTTGGAAAACCACTAAGAAAAAACCCAGTTTAAGCATAAAATCGCAAAAGAATACGCTTATTCTATCCTTTCTGTTTAGAACAGCAAGTAAACGTAAAACAAATTCACTTCGACGTAACAATACCATAATTAAAACCTCTGCAGTTATTTAATTTATTTTTATATAACAAAGGACGAGTCACTAAGAATAAAGTGTCCCCTCTGACACCTGCGACGCCAGACTTGTACCTAGTTTACAATTAGTGAAGAAATGTGTTCTATAGTAATTTAAAAACGTTCAGAATTTCAATCCTTACATTATGGGAATCGCTCGTAAATTCTTTAAATTTTCATTACCATACGACATTACTACGTAGGTATTAGTGTCTTTTTATCTATTTACCTTCTCTCTAACACTTAAGCAATATACAAAGCAGATTAGGTACATAGATAAACATAATGTATATGAAACAGAAAACCAAAGTAAGTACATTAATAGACAAAAAGAAAAAGAATTTTAACATTAAACAAATGACAATTAATACTTAATATTTCAAAGATTGTTACTGCTAATTAAAGTCAAAGTCTTCCCGCCTCTTTAAATATTTCCTCACATCCTCTTTGGTGAGGTGTAAAATATCAACATCGTCAAAATTTGTTAATTTATTTATTTATTACTTTATCTAGGTTCACCACATCAACAGTAAATGTTACAAGCTACCTTTTCTTAAATGTATAATAATTATAGTTAACATAAATGTTAGAAAAAAATAAATACAATAAAAATACTTGTATTTTTTTTCTGGTAATGCTTTTTTTAAATTGATGGACACAGTACCGAATATATCCAACTCCGGGTAAGTCCTGTTTATTCCGTTATAATCGTGAAGAATTCGAATGAGAGGTGCCTGAACTCCTAGGTTGGTTTTTTTCAGACGGAATTTGGATAATTCGGCTGGAAGTATATATACTATACTATTTTCCTGGATTAAAATAACTTAACATGATGGCTGAAGCAGGGTTGTTTTAGTGATTAAGCATAACAAGCACAATTTAATCTTTATAATATATTAGTAGCTATTTATTTAGCATTTCTCGTTTTAAGGTCATCAAAAACTTACAGAAATCATTATCTTTTTTAACCGACATGATATGATATTAGCTAAATTTCCCAGAGTCACAAGCACTTCATTCTACATACTGATGATGTTTTTAGAAAATGAAATTTTACCTCGTCTTATAACGTTGACATATTTACACAAGATTAAAATCTCTACGTAGGCATTTCGTCTTGTTATCTAGTAGGTTTAGTAACACTAAAAGTGATATGCAGTACAACCATTAGTGGTTATAAGATGTTTAACTATCAATATCAGAAAGTATAGAATAGACAGAGATGGATGTTTTAAATCAATAGATTTGAAAAGAATCGTGCACCGATTATGAAAATACTTTTCGTGAAAAATATGGGCCGTACTTGATTTGGTCAGATTATCACCTTGGGGGGTCATGCGTACGAACCATTACTGTGTAATATTGGATTATCTTTTCTATCTGCGTAATTAGTACTTCCTCGTACGATAAATACATAAGAAAGAGAATGTACATTATTGAATGTAAAAATATATTTAATATAATAAAAATGTATTAAACTCTACGACGACGTATATTATCATCTGCTTACATTGTTACGTTCTTATGTCGATATGCATTGAGTTAGTTCTACTACCATTTTCCCATAAATACTAAAATTTTAAAGCTTTATTATGGCTAACCCAAGATATAAGGCAGGTCACACTCGTTATTAGATTTTTATATATATATTTTTTTTAATGGCTCTGGCACGATTTGTGCATTAGCCAGCGTCAAATATAGGATTTTTTCTTACATGTCTTTAGAAATTCGACCGTGTCCTTCATATACGGTTTAAGCACTCGCCCGGTACCGCACAACCCTCCCAAAGGCCGACAACAAATTTAAATTAAATCTTGCCCTCGAACCGGGAATCGAACCCGGTACCTCTCACCTAGCTGCCACTTAATAAGACCGCTAGGCTATGAGGCCCCCCAAATATTTTTATATTTGTAACCTTATTTGGTTAAAAAAATGTCTATTGCCAACCACTTCTTGTTCTACATAATTTATGGTTTGTTAACCTAACTCAACGGTTTTAAATAATTAATCAGAAATGTATTTTAAAAAAATGCCACAAATTACCTTATACGTATTAATTTAGACGATTAAAAGTTTTGTGTAATAGAGTTCAAATGGGTAGTAGTGGCTAGATTCGCAATGAAAAAGCACTGTTTAAAATATAATTAAGTATATTCTTCGTTTCAGTCATTCCGCAGTTTTCGTTAACACTACATTGTTATTTTACGTATTCGAGGAAATTTTCTACGGCGTCATAAATTAATGCTTGTAATTTTCTTCACGCCAAATATTCCTCCGCGTATTTGTAATGACCAGTAAATTTTAGTATTATTCTTGGACGTTTATTGCTTTTCCGAATTAATCAAATGCAAATTTAAACTACAATGTGGAATCTCAGGAATTAAAATTGTAAAATATTTTTTATAGGGGTTTTGTATTTTTTCGAAATGTCATTCACTTTATTTCTCAACTATATATAGTTATATATATATATATAACTTTTGTTATAGAACAAACACCTTTGCTTAAAATACGTACTACAATTACATAGATGTCTATGATCTTCATCGTGGTTTGATTTGACCAATGTTATAATGAAAATAACCCAATTCAGTTCACGTGAACTTATAATGCAGCCCCGGGAACTACTTTGCAAATAAATGTAACTGGAAAACAGCCATACAAATAAAACAGATTCCCGCCTATTCCTTGATAAATTCATGTTAGAAATTTTCTATACTAGATAGATATGACTTTGTTGAAAAACTTTACACAAATCAAATGGTGAATATTTTTTTATTAAAAAGCTTGCCAACGCTTAGCACACTTATACAATGATCATTAAGCTAAATAAAGTATTCATCGTACAATACAAATGGTAGACCATTTGGAAGGTAAAATAATGATGAAAATTAAACGGTATTGCATGTATCATAAATTAATACATAAACAAAGAACGATAAAATCTTTCGTTATCATTTATCAGGTTGATGAGAGCGTAAGTCACCATAAAGTTATTAATGTTTCTGCAAACATAGATAAAATTCCATTCCGAACCTTAAAATTGAGTCTGTCACGACAAATAGCTGTCGGTAATTGTGAATTATACTGGGGTTTAATGTCGGGAACATTTCCTATTAATGACGTCTTAGGTTATAGCAGTTTTTCGGCTATTTCCGTTCATAATATCTATACTGTATAGCATACGTATATTAGTACTACACAATACTGAAGAGAAATAAGAAAAAAATTGAGGCACTTCACAACAAATAACAGTGTAAATTATAATTTTATTTATATACAAAAACAAAGTTTGTATCTTGATGAAACTTTTTACACACATTTTATAAGATTTATTAATCCTAACTCGTGTTATCTCTCTTAATCAAAGTATAACGATACTAAACAAAATACCTTGTCTTAATTAAATAAATATTTAATATTCAAAGGAGATTTTTTGGGTCGTATAGATCTTATTCGCTTTACTGTTCCTACACTTCGAAGAACGACACGTCGCACCAGCAGTAGTTTATAATAGAGTATAAAAATATGTATTTATAATACATATTTTTTTAGTAATTTTATACTAATACAATAGAAAACTGTACTAAAATCATAATATAAACATAACAAGTAAAAACTTAAAACCTAAACCTTTTTATAACTAATTATAAATAATGCAATTCTTGTGAATTCAGCCAGTGTGAAACTAAATATTATATTCGTCTCTCACGCAATAGTGTTTAGGGTACGCAAGACACGCGTACCTAAATGGTGCTTCTCTGAGTAAATTCTAAAAAAAAAAATTAATGAACTCGTTCCATCAACTTTCTATGGACAAACTTGAGGATAAGATAATCGAGGCTTTTAAGGTTATTTAATTGCAACACCTTTATTAATATGTTTTTTAATAAAGTTATAATTAAAAAGTTAATTGACTTTTGAAAATATTGAAAATTGTAGGTTTTTAGGATTAAACGTTGAACTTAATTAAATCTTCAATCACTGATTAGGTAACATAATTTTTCAATATCATCATGACGGGTATTACCACCTTGCAAATAAAGCAAAACGAACCGGAAAAAGACAAATATCAGAATGTTTCTTGATGTTTATGTTCTCTATTATTATCTCCCTAAAGGTAAATGGTAAATCATAATTGAACTTACTTTTCAGCATCGCTTCGCTGGGCGCTGGTACCGTAGGGCGATCGTCCACCGGTGACTTTTTCTTCTTCTTATCATCGTCCTGCTGCAACACACAATCGTCAGACATACATAACACTTTTGTGAGACTCATAAATGTAACTTAAACAAACACGATTTACAAATACAAAACGCTAAGTGACTAGTTTTATCAACCGTAGAATGTTATCACTGCTTATCGATATATTGATCAGTGCATTGTATGAAAACGAATAATTTTGATCATTATAATTCATAATATCCAAAATTCGTGTTTTTTATTTTCATTTACAAGGCAAGTCTTCTTAGGTTGAAACTTAAAAACAATGTAATACGAATTCTTACAAACATAAAAAACGTCGTAACACATCAAAGTTAAAGTGGAAATGGGCCGGTCACGGCCCGGGTTTGTGATGACAGATAGGCCAAAAATACCCTTACTTGGAATGGCCAAGTGCGAAGAAAAAAGAGAGTAGGTATCGTGTACTAATGTTAAACATTGATTTAATGTAATCCTAATTATGTCGTACTTTAAGCTATTTTTATTTTATACAAGGCAAAAATAAATAGTCTGAAAGAAAATTGACGTTTAGTGCATTCAACCCATTTATTATTCGTGTAAATAAAATAAGAATTAAACGTTTTATAGCTACAATGATTAATTACTATTCGGCATGCGCTAAACTCTTTTGACCATACTGCCTAGTCTTTAACCGAATTCAAAAAGGAGGACTGTTCGTATTTGGTATGTTGGGATTTGAATATTTAGGTATCTAAGTTATCTCTTAAATCTATTAAAATCTATTGAGATTACCAAGCAGATGTGCTAAATTTCGTTAGTATATGTGTATTTGGTATATTTCAACTTATAGAACATATCTACATATTCCTAGTTTCATCAAAACTGGTTCAGTTGTTTTTGAATAAGTGATCCACGCATTTCTGTAGGTGGGTTCGTAGGTAGGAACCGTATATGTATAATGTATATAGTATAGGGTTCTACTACCTAGGAACAGCTTTTTTTAATCGGTGTTATTTTTTCAATATATCTACTTACTTGGAATAAAGTTATTTCTCAAACTTTAACTTCTTTTAGGTGACCCATAAATAAACTAATAATATTTTATAATTTCGTGAGACGAAATAATATCGATCGACTAAATGTTAACTCAATTGACAAGCAACACGACAACATAATTTTTACCCGAGTTCCAATTTATTTATTTGATTTTTAGTATGTCTATAGCTAATTATAATAATAGCTATACAATTACACAACACAGCCAGAAACGTAATGCACATTAAAACAAAAACGTAAAATCTTATTTAAAAAAAACATACACAAGTATTTCTAAAATAAAAAAAAAAATATTAAAACCCAAACATAACAATCAAATATACAATATTTACAATTTTCTTAACCAACAAAGTTATAATAAATATAATTAAACATTAATAAAAAGAAAATTAACACAAATTTATAAAGTTTTGTCCCTTTAACGCTGGCAGCTTTTCCTCACTGTATTGCTTATATCACACTTAGTCGTTGAGAGAGGAAAGCACCAGCTTTCACATTTGTAGTTAGTACCAGGGTCACCGGTACTAACTACTAGGCGCCAACCTTAACCTTTAATTTCTAAAATTACTTTTTTTCTATAAATTAAAGAAGGGACTTAAGAAAATAATAAAAAAAGATACAAGAAAAATCATATATGTTCATTTGCGCATAATAAATTTGCATTGCTGTCAACACAATTCAATTAAATATTTTAATGCAAGTTAACTCTCGATATTTTAGTAAAACATTTCCATTTGTCATCACCTACAATTAAGTGCCAAGGTATTTGCCAAGAACCTGAAGGATTAGAACTTATTATAGATGATACAAATGAAAAGGGAGCCAAAAGGGATTTATAATTCAGTGATTTAGCGTCGAAATAGCCAATGTCGCGTTTGGCACAGCATCAACGAAAGCAATGGCATACCAATACAATTAAAACATAATTATCGATAAATAATCTGGTAGTTTATTATGGGTAAAACAGATCTTAAGTCAGAGTCAGAATTCGTTCGAATCACTATCACATAGATCGTTTGTAACGATCAGTTAAAGCTTACAGACTATTTAAAAACGTGGCCTAAGGTCAAATACAGACTAAGCGTTCAAATACCTTTCTGACATATGGTAGTCATAATAAGCGCTACGAATCGAATCTGAATAATACTCTATAAAGGTCAAGAAACATGGGAATAACCTGACTGAGTTTCTTTAATATAAAATAACATAAATTGTATATAATTGTATGTAAATAGGAAGAAGTATACACAAAACTAGCACGTCTAAGCAATTCATTAAACCAGTAATCAGAGCTAAAAATATGGTATTTCATGGTGCCTTTTGGTAATTATTCTTATTTGAAACACATAAAACAAATGTAAACCACGTCTTACACCATCTTCAAAGAAAACATTCATCAATTCGTTGCTAAACACTTCAATGTTCCGAGGTTACATTTTACGCTGACAGTTATGTCCGTAAACCATGGCTTCATGAAAAACCGTGAAATGTAAACGTAAATAAAACTGGGATTAATGGTTTTTCAGAATTAAGATTTAAGGGTTTTTAAGAAAAACTGCTTTACCGTAAGAAATGCTGTTATAAAAGACTGGTCTGTCTGGCTTCGAAGATTTTTTTAGTAAAACGTTAAAAGGCAAATGGCCGTACCACAGTATTGCATTGGCGTTTCAAAGGGCGTTGTTGAGGTTAAATTCGTAGGTTTGGCAGTACTTTTTAATACTTAGTTAAAATACTAACATACTTCTAACTTTAATGTAATGTTAATTAAATATTGTTACTAACTTTTATCAAACAATTATTTGATATAATTATCTTCATCAACTTTACAAAGTAATAGGAATTGTTTTACAGTAGCTCATAAAAAAGTATCGATTTTATTACTTAAGTAAATCGGTGATGCAGGCGATATCACTACAAACTTTTATATAGATTACTTTATAATGGTTCTAGCTAGAAGTCTGACAATAGACGACACGAAATAAAAATAACTGTACATGTTTTTATAACAAATAATTTAATCCTTTATTTACTCAATATTCACCCAACGGACTAGTGTGGTCTGGTTTATTTTTTTGTTGCCAAAACGATTTTTTTTTGGATTAAATTTTTTGTATTTGGATGGATATGTTTTGTGTCGGTATGTTCACAGTTTAGCAGGCAGCTGAAATACACTATCAACAATAACTATCTTCATATTTAGAGTAGCCAGGTTTTATTAATAACAAATAGCTCGTTATGCATAAAATATAAGTCGTTCAAACTAAAACATTACGCAAAAGATTGAAGTCACAAACAATTTATATCAAAGTGTACCTATACCCCTACATTGTATTAATTCTTGTGCATTATGCTGTCGTTTTGCCAAATATAAACACGTGAGGTTTGTGTTTATAATACCTACGACATAGGTTCCCTTGAATCCACACATAGCAAGTAAAGAGGACAATTTTTGAATATTCAAATGGACTTGATTAGTCTGGCACCTTTTACAATGATATAATAAAATTAATAAACTATTTTAGATTTTTCGAGCTCCCGACAACCATATTAATTTATAGAATAGATTTTAATTATATAGATTGTTAAGGATTTAAAAAATCGTATCTACGTAATTTGGGATATCGTTTTCTTGGTTCTGCCCATTTATTTCATTTATTTATGTCCAATAACTTAAAAAAAACAGTTCGTATTTAAGAACACATCCTAGGCTGTCACAACTTATTAATATCGCATCGTATCCCCTCATTGGGACATTAGAAAGACACTTTTTCGCAACTTATTCCTTGGTTGCACATTAAACCAATTTGTGCCTCACTAAATTACTGTCCAGGACATGCGAAGTATGTCATGTACAATATAATAATGACTGATATAGTTTTATAACATAGAGCTAAGCTTCGCATGCAACAATGATAAATAAACAAAAATCAACTATGATAGATAATAAAAAAATCAATAGGTACTACAACGTTATAAAGACTAGTGAGTTTGTTTCATAGCGCTAATCTTAACAGGGTTGAATTTTATTTATGTGGGAGAGTCTATTTATGAAGAAGGCTTTAGGAACATATTATCATGCTACGAACGATTAACGCGTCCAAAACCGCTAGTAATACTGTCCAAATAGCTATGCCCCACTACTTTCATAGATATAGCAGAAACTAAAGAAAATAATCGCAAATCTTAGAAGAATGTTTACCTTTCTTCTACTTCGGGATGTGGTAGCCATTCCCTGGAAGGAAAAAATAATTCATTAACTCATTTTAAGCTTATAAGCGAGTATCAGGTAAATTTTCAAATAAGTTAGTAGCTCAAATATCGACAATAAAGTTCAAACTGAAATTTTAAATTATTTATGTTAAGCGATATTGCAATTAGAGCAATATAGCCTTGTACTTAACGACTCTTAAACCTAACATCATCTGTTTGAATTCCGACCGTGTACCGGATAATAACGTTGCTTAAACATTGAGGGAAAACATTGTGGGCAAGCACTTCTTAGACCTAAAAGGAACGACATGTGTGGCCACAGAAAGGTGATCTTATACTTGCCTATTTGGAAACTTTTAAAAACTATAGTTTAATATATAAGTAGCTAACCAGTTTATAAATTCTTAAATTTCTTCGTATAATTTAAATATAGTATTTGTTCGGATGGCGTGGATAGCTTAGTAGATATTCCGTTTAATAATTATTATAATTCTATTAAAATTTAATTGTAATATTTTATATTTTAGCTTTACGTGCAAATACTTATAAATTATATATTACAAAAATAAAAGCATACTTTACTTATTATTAGAAATATAACTTTTTATGTATATTAAATCAATCGTATTGTTATGATGGCAATTAGAGTCATTTGTGGCGAACATAGCTACCTAATCTGTGCTAACTGGCATCTTTCCAAGTGGAACCGGATAAAAATATTTTTACAATAATTCCGAGTATTAAAAGTAGTACAGAGGTATTTGCCATTTCATTAAATTTTCTTCATTAAAGCTTCAAATAAACATGACAATACACAACAAATAAACGTGAAATATGAGCAGTATCATCTAAACCACGTGTTCGTCTATTTCTGTTAAATTATGTTTTCACTGTCATGAAAAGAGACAGATGAGAAACTATATTAAAACGTTGAAAATAAAAATAATATAAAGATAAAATAATTGACAAATTGTTAATTTGACAACGGTTCAAGACAAAAACGTACGTTTCCGTACAAACTAAAAAAAATTTTTTTGTGTTAGCAGATAAGAGGCGACAATAATGTGACATAATAAAAAATGTTTGTGCACATAAATCATTTTTAAAGCAAGTAGGTTCCTACTGACGAAAACCATTATTGATTGCCGGGAATCGAGCCCAGGGCTTCTAGATTATATGTACTAATAAGCCACGGAGGCGGATAATAGCTTATTTTCATCCGATTTTTGTATCTATTAGTATATGTTATTATACCCGGTAACTATGAAGACTAAATGCGAATTGAGGATTTTTTTTCTCAAAGTAGTTTTTATAACAATAGACCGTAGCAATAATTTATATAATTAATTTTTATATAATATCCGCATCAAAAGTTTAAAACAAGAAACTTTGAAAGTAAGATGATAATTTATATTTCATATCTGGTCGATACCTAAATTTCTTGTTTGGCAAATGGAACTGGCGATAACAATATAATAAATCTTACCTACATATTGAAAACACAGCAACGAATTCCGTATGCTTTTTAACCATTGGTGATTGGAATACATCACTTATCTTTTAAACGCTCTAAGTTTCAAATGATCCGAGTGGACTAATCGAATGGCCTATTATATAAATAACATCTTAAACGAACCGGTATATGTGTAGGTGAGTACTATACTGTCCAGAGACGTTTCTCACGAATCTTTTTTCAATTGTACATTACTCATCGCGTATTTTACTCGAATCCCAGGAATTAAAACTTTGGAACAACATCAAATTGTAGGGAAAACAATGAGGTAATTGGTGATTTAACGGTTCTCTTAAATAAACAAACAGTAATGTTATAATCTATGGTTTCTCATTATTTTTTTCGAGATGCAAATTCTAAGTGAAAAAAAAACGATTTTCACCTTACTTAATATTAGGAAAAAGCTTTCTTCTACTTTGCATATTACTTCCATGACTAAAATAGTATTGTTTTCGGTTGATAAACAATATAAGCAAATGTACTGATCAACTTGTCTAATTAAACCAATGCAGAAACGTGTTTCCTCATGCAAAAATACCGATTATAGAAATTAGAGCTATTATAGAATTTCAAAAGCAATGTGTCGCTCAAACGAATATTGGCGAAATATCTTAGGCATGTTCGGTACAATGGAATTTTAATCTTGGGAAAGAGGGCAATGCCAACGCGTTCGATCGATGCGGTCGAACCATTCGATGTAAAAGTTAACCTTGCACCCTGTCCCCACTATTTACATACAAAGTATAACCCATTATGAATGGCGTCACTTAAATACACGGTGTACACATGTACAAGTATTGTATTTTGTTCATTTTGCTTAGTGTTTTATTATTCTTGCGACTGCGAAAAATAAAGAGATGTTGTGTTTCTTTTTAGCAAGTTTTATTTATTTATTTTATTTATATACACTTCGTTGCTAATAATATAAGAAACACAATAAATAAAAATGAAACACAAAACACATGATGCGTGCGAGAAGTGCAGAATCCTTAATCTAAAGCAATACAAAAAAAAAATATTAATAACAAACTAAAAACTTAAAAACTAATCTTACAAATACATGAACAGCGAATAGTGATGTAAAAGGAATCATAAGAATTATACAAGTCACGATTGATGAGGATAGGATAAGGTTAAGAAATGATTATACAGAAGAGTTTTAAAAGATGACAGAGAGGTAGCCAATCGTACGGAGTCAGGCAGCGTATTCCACAACTTAATGGCGGAGATCGTAAATGAATTGCCTAAGAAGTTTTTCCGACCAGAATTCCTTTTTAATGATTTGCATTTGAATATATGATAAACTTCAATAATTGTTATGAGAATTTTTCTTTAACTAAGATACTGGGAACTGAGGTACTCAGGTATAATAATATCATAGTGTGATAGTGATTTTAAAAAATCCGCCTTTGCTGTGTTAAAATGTTATTAACAATTAAAAATATATTATGACAAATAATTGCACTATTTCAACATACATAATATTATTATAATATAAAATGCCGTTTATAGAATTTTAGAATGATTAAAAGTTTAGAATTAGTAAATATTAATTTGTGATCTTTCCTATCCTACCTGTCTATATTTTTCTGTGGATTAACAAGATACAAAGGAGATCTCTATAAATACATAAGTGTCTGTATGTGAATTTATTTTCAGATAACGGAAGTAAGTTCCCAAGGTTAAAAAATAGTTAAAATTAATATTTTGCCGTTGTTTGAACGTCTACTAAATCGCTACTATCGTTTCCTAATGTATATTATTTTACTAACTACATGCGTAGTTATATAATAAAAACAAACCAAATTAGCATTGTAGGCTTGTTCGTAGCAACTAATGTACCGTCTATTTTATATGTAGCCGCGTAGACAGTGCTACGACCTACGCAGTGACCCGCAATAGGATTTTGCCGAAAATTAATGTAAATATTTATGAATTTTCAAAATCTATAGTGTTTAATACTCTATAAGCTTTGGCGACACCTTGCTAAATGCCCGCAGAGAAAAAAGAAATAACGTACTCCGCATTTTTAAACTTTTGTTCCGAATTATTTTATTATAACAACTGTTAACTTATTAGACTGAGATTCAAAGATGATTCAAACAAAATAAATATTTGCTAATGAGTTTCTTTTGTGTTTTAAATGATCACAATATTTAAGTATATTAATAAAACGTTTTTTAGTAATATCAAGTTTAACACAAATAACTAGTAATTATAAGATTTCTGTTAATTCACTCAGTAACACTTAACCAAATAAGATTAACATAATTCACTTTTGACACTGGTCACTTCTCACTATCACGTGCACCGTCACCGCACTTGAAAATATTTATATTATGTTAAATAGAATATAGAAGCAAAAGAAAAGAAGTTCAAAAGAAAACAGATACCTATTTTTTGATGAATTGAATTTAGATGCCGATGTCAACGCCGTTGGCTGAGATGGCTCGGTGCCGTGATAATCGACTTCCACAGTTCGTTTGAATGTCTGATGTCGCGCGGCCTTTGTACGCGTTGGCTATTCGTTTATTGCGCGAGTATTTCTGTATATCATAGCCATCGGACAAATCACGGCCATGCGACCCGGTCCGAATGAGCGCTCTAATAATAAATTGTTTATGTTTTCTTCCCTTGGTGACTTTTCTGTGCCATTCTATCTAAAGAGGCCTAAAGCAAACTTCGAGCTTCGTACTTCAGCAATAGATGTGACAAATTTTATAGCTATTAGCGTTTTATGAATGCTTAAATGAAATTGAATTGTGGCGCCAATATTGTGTCGTGTTTGTGTGTGCGTGTAGGTACTCGTTACGTACCGAGAACGTTTCAGAGATCGCGCTGCAGAAGGCGCCAAAGCCAGATTGGGCGGGCGGGGAGCTCGGGGCGGGCGGGGAATCGCCGCTCGCGCGATCCATGGCGTTGGGCGTCTGGCGCGGTGCGCGGTGCCTGCTGGTTGGCAAAGACTGCCGCACGCCCGACGCCGCTTGCACCCGCTTCACGCCTCACGTTCGCGCCTTCGCGTTACATAAACGCGCTTAGGAGTCGTATTCACGATACATTGTTCATTTGTCACTGCCTCATACAGTTACAATTCAAAACTAGACAATGCCGACGAATTTGCTTATTAATACGCCGCTGATAAGTTATATTGAAACATACTTACGGTTATACACTGGTCCATAGCTAGTAATTTCAAGTTTATTATTTAATTATCTAGTTAGTTATTAGTACGTATAACTAATGAACAGTGAACACATTCCTTTATCCGCTTTTCGTTCCCACCTGTCTGTTGTCCCTATGTTTTGGCATCGTGTGTAACACAACAATAACACTAAGTAATTATAGAACGTTTATTTTAGTCTTGCTAAACGCTGCGAGCGACTAAGATTAATTTCTAGTGACATCTATCACTGCCCTGTCTTGTTATAATGAAACATGTTTTATGGTGAACTCGAAATCAATTAGTAAGAAAGTTTGTTTAAGTGTCAACAATCTTATCGGCATGGGAAGTTGTTTTATTATCTTATATTAAAAGAACTTAGATAATATAATGTGAAATGTTAATTTTATTACTGTAGTATGAACATTTGAAATTATTGATACATCTCACCTTTCTTATTGAAAGGAATCTGAATGATTATGGAACTTAATAGGATCCTTTAAAAAAACATTATTTAAAAACCTACCTTATCCAACAAAGCCTGATTTAACCCACTTCAAAACATCCTGAAGCAAAAGGTTTCGACGTGTAATTATTTGTTATTTACTCCATTTAGTCTTCCGGTGTTGAAAATTGTATTTATCAATCTCTCTCTCCTTAATCGGCAGCTCATGTCTGGGCGTCGTGGTCAGCAAGAAAGCGTCTGGAGCGGACTATCTGTTTCCACCGGTTTCGGTCCAGCGCTTCTCTTATGACAGTACAGTTTTGAGGACGATGAGTCTTTCACTTGATCGCTCCATCTTATTTAGCAATAAATAGAGATATATAAGATTACATATTTATATATATAATAAGTATCTTAGCTGTATCAAAAGGTAAACTAATATGAAGCAACTTCTATGCATAATCGTGTTAGGGATTTATACGGTGACCTTATTTCACTCAGAGATTATAGGTGTGCGCTCCAAAATTTAATAATTAAAGCCTAGTAGTTGCCTAGAATTATGGCTGCTTCCTTTAATATAATATACAGCTACATTAAAATACGCACAAGACCAATGCAAGAAAAAACACAATTAATTTTAAACAAAAATTACTATTATTATACACAAACTTCAGCAGAAAAAACATATACCTAACTATAATTTTCATATCCAAAAATAATAAATAAAATAATGGCGCTAGAACCCTATGTTCGTGTTAGTTTTATAGAATACGTTTAAAAAACTTGAGAAATGTATGACAAACGTTGATCATTAGCGGCCGATCAGGTATGTGGTGGAACCAGAAACAATTATCATTATGCCTTGAATCAAACATCTGCTGTGTTATCCACAAAGCCACAAAATATGGTAGGTAGTAAAACGTACATACAAATATGATATTGTTTAAAGACTCACTAGAATAACTTAAACTGAAATAAACTAAATGTGATTTTATTACCTAGTATAAATAAATTTGTAGTAAGTTTATAAATAAATTTATTTGACCGGATTCGAAGTCAGGACAACCGACACCCACACCTGGTTGCCCGAGAAATATTTTCACAAACCATCTGTTCACAAATACGTCAAATATAATAAATATTTGTGGAAGAATTATGGACATTTTATTAGTGTTCAGACAGTAAGTGATAATAATCGCGTGAATATGTTTCGCAATAAAATCCTCTGCTATTTATATATATTAATAATATCGTGTTCTGAATGTAGAAGGATAAAACGCGTCGTTGGGGGAAAGGACGTCGCTTGTGGTATCTTATTTATGTAAAACTAAAAACCAGCTTGTGTATTGTATCTGTTTGAGTGTCAACTATAGACCGTTGAATTTGTTTGATCTAAGACGCAGGTAAAGCGAAGCTTCGTGCACAACTTTGATTCAAACGCAGGACTTGAGCGTCTAGATTAGCCGCTAGGCTTACCGAGCGCCATTTTTATATATAAACTATGTTATTCATAAAAGATTACAGACTGCGGAAAGGTATTTAATGTCCTTATCATTCTTGTGATAGTTTGAAAGTAAACGTGACTAAACTACTAAAGGCCTTTTGAACGTAAATACAAACGATGTGGAGCCAAGTCGGGTAACTAGTACTTATAAACAATGTTATTCAAGGCACCCAACTCCGGGCGGCATCTCTGAGGAATTCGTCAAATTCTCGTCATTTATGTGGTGCGACAATATTATCGCACAACAACGCCATCACCGCAGCACATTGCGTTCAAAATGAACCGGACTATTACTTCATGCAATTGAATAATTTCTGTTTTAATACCCAAGGTGTACCTAAGACTCCGGTACTGAAAATTACTAGACACGATTTATATGAACCGTGAGTGTTGTTTATTCACATCAATTATACATACATAGTTACTTATTAATTAATTAGGTGTCTTAGGTGGCATTTATAGAGAATTTAATAAAATATGTCTACTAGAGTTACTACGACTGATTTTCGAAAGCGCAGAGTAGTTATAGACTTTTTTTATTGGACACAAGACACATCATTAATTGAGAGAAATATTAGCCGTTGAAGACTCAAAATCTTTATGCGTATATAAACGGCATTTATTCAATAACTACCTCATGAATTTTGATACAAATATCACCAATAGATATTGTGGTTTATAAGGAAGGTTTAAATATATAATTCTTCATGGTTTAATGTTAACTGACAGAAATATTGAAGCCAATGAAGAGGTCAAAAAATCTTTATGCGTATATAAACGGCATTTATTCACATGCCACATGAATTTTAATACAAATTCTCAATCACCAATCGATAGTGTGACTAATAAGAAACGTTTTAATATATAATTCTACATGGTTTAATGTTAAACTTATTTTAATATTTACTGAATGACACAAGTAATCGTTAACCCTCAGCTCCTGCAATAATCACTCATGTTAATTTATTTTGATAATTTACATAACATAAAAAGCAATATAAAACCAACCCTCGCCGTATTTTGTTGAGTAAGCCTAATATTTTTCTAATACGTAAATGATTTCATTATTCCACGCTTGTTTTCGTCCGAAATCCCTTGCCTATATTAAAGCCGCACTTATATGGTTTCAGATCCTCTCACGTACACGACATAGCCGTCCTACAAATAAAGCTCAATTTCACATCGTTCAACGCGACTATATTACCTAACTCCTCTTTCGGTGTATCAGGTAACTGTGAATGAACTGACAAAAATGTTGCCTTCACGCAATCAGCACTGTCAATTTAAACACGCTATTATTATCCCAATTCTTGAGAACACGCCAAAGATATCAATTAAGAAAGCAAAGTAGGTAGGTAGGTACTAACTGTATAAATTGGTTGGCTTTTAAAAGAATGTCATTTAGGTGTCTGTAAATAACATAAGTTTATTTTAAGATCAGCCACACTACGCTTTTGGTTTCGGTCAATTGCAATAATTACTCAACCGGTTGTAGTTTCACAAGTTTATTTAATTTCAGTATTTCTCTGAAATTAAACACATCAGGGGAAATTTCCAGTACCATAATATATTTCACATTAATTAAATATTTCACAATACATTTTAAAAAGGTCAAAATTACAACTCAATTTTGTACAGTGCTACATTTTTGTGTATTAATTAGGATTGCAACCTCGAAATTGTAGATCACTTTACGGCTTTCTAAAGTATATTAAAAATAGTAGGTGCGCTTCATATCGAGTAAATCTCCTTATTTTGATGATATTATCTATCTATATTATATTCATTTTACCTCTTACAAACACTTAGAACTTCGCAGGCAAGTGCACAATATACGGGTACGGATACAAAGACGTAGAGAACAAAGGAACAACGGAAACTTTGCAGTCTGCAGAAGTAAAACTTATTTCATTAGACGAATGCACGTCATCCCTTGGGCCATACATCGCCCCACAACCCGAGGGCGGGATGATTTGCGCTATTGGAGATGGCGTAGACGCTTGCCAGGTGATTTTAAATCCTTAAGCTCATCTTGTAAACAGAAATAAGTTTACTTAGGTTCTCATTATGACCAGTGTTGGCCTAGTGGCTTCAGCTTTCGACTCACACCCCTGAGGTCGTAGGTTCGATCCCCGGCTGTGCACCAATGGACTTTCTGTCTATGTGCGCATTTAACATTCGCTCGAACGGTGAAGGAATACATCGTGAGGAAACCGACATGTCTTGGACCCAAAAAGTCGGCGGCGTGTGTCAGACACTGGAGGCTGATCACCTACTTGCCTATTAGATGGAAAATTATCATGAAACAGATTCAGAAAACTTATTTGGAATGTAATTAAACACCCGTCTGCTTCCAACAATGCATGGATTTCTTTGTTTGTTCTGATAATTATTTTTATTTGTAGATAATGAGGTTCCAATGAAAAGCAAGGTACACGTCGGAGGTAACTTGAAACTAGTGTTGAAACCCGAATTATTAATTTACCGAGTGTCGAACCTTGATTCAAGTTTAATCATATCAGGTTCTCCTAAGAACAACTCTTAAGGGAATGTGCTTTACTATAGAATAATATAATATAGCTTTTTTCGTTAGTGCTCAGAGAAAATATAAAATATCACCCACGACGATCGAGTTTCATCCCGTAAAGGCATAATGCGCATTAGTAAATCGAAGACTACATATTATTATAATTACAATACACCTCTTAGAACGAATAGATATGAAATTATCGTCTTAATTCTTATGATATTTATAGGGTGATTCGGGAGGACCACTCATATGTTCAGGCTATATCCAAGGCTTAAGTAGTTATGGACTTGGCTGCAATATTCCTGGAAAACCCGGTGTCTACGTTAGTACTGGTGCTCATTTGACATGGATAATGCGTGTGAGTGAGGAGAATTAATTACTTCTAGCATTAAGAACTACTGAAAATAGCAAAGATAATAGGAGTAAGATAGCGTGTATGTATAAATATAAGCTAAATAATTCATGTATTCGTATTGATACTTAATTGTACGTAGACTAAGTTTCAGCTTTATTAGGAATTCGTGGATAAATTAGCGAAGGTATTATAAACATTATGAACAACGTATCGCACGGAACAGATTTTATTTGTTCTTAGAATTTTTGGCGAAAATTTATCCCGACAGAAAATGTACAAAAAAAACGTTTTAACTTTATCTTTGATCACGTAAACTAATTGTAGCAAGAATCGAATTATCAGTAAATATTTTTTTAATTGTTGATCCACTACCTAATTTATGTATGATCAGGTACTAGACAATTAAATTTAATTAACTGAAATCGACCTTAGAACATAAATTTCCTTAGATGCCCGTTTTTTTCCCAGGGTCTCGCCTTCCTGCCGTTACACAATACACCGTTTTAAGTACTTGTACGGCGAAAAGCTACATCCAACAATTATCATCTTAATAGGTTTAATGGCAAAAATGTTTTATAAGCTTATATTACATAAAATTAGTGTTGCTTCCTTACGTTTGTTAAAACTTAATAGTCGTAAGTTGTCTTACAATAAATTAGTTTTTTCATTTGAAAATGCAATTTGATGGTAAATATAATCGGTATTAAGTACATCAAACAGCTTCTAGACAATGACGGATAAAAAAAACAACAATATACATCATATATTTATTACAATTAAAAAATATGATATGAAAGCACGTAGACATGACAACTTTAATTTTTTCTAGCGTTTTTCGTTTAAAACACACATTTGTAACAGCAAATACCACTGACTTAACATTCTTAATTCTTTATTTTTTCAAACTCGTACATCAACAATATTCGTGCATACTGAAAAACCCAATATAAAATTTTAAATGCTAAAATAATCAAAAGTAAAAACATGGCAGCTATTTGTGCCGCAACTATTATATAATAATTATTGCTTATTGACAACTAAATTGCACACGTAACACCGTTAAATAATAAATATTTGTACATTCGTTCGATCACCTACTTAAAACATAAAAACCACTATAGAACTATTCATACAATACCTATATTCGTGCGTACTAAAAACTTCAAACAGCTATTAAATGGTTTATCTTTATCACTTTAAAAATATTGATTAGATTTTAGTTTAATTCAACCGATAGTCTTGTAATATTGGAATGTTAATATCAATAAAACGAGAATAAATAATCTACTATAAATCTAAAAATTAATACTTATATTAGGCCACAAAGCAATAACAATAATAATTATCTAGCTAGAGTATTTCTTATTAAAGATATCACTGCGAAAATCCTTCATGATTATTGTATGAAGTCTTCCGAGCCTACCAACCCAAAACATTGTTTCATAGACGTTTTCATTCGTAGACTCCACATGTGTTTACCACTGATAAATTAATTGAAATCGTAAAATTATTATTACCCCAAACTCAAACTAAACTATTCATATTATTAAAATTTTTGTGATTTTGCTCTATAATATTTAATGTGTAAATGACAATTAGGCCAAAATGTAAGAGTCACAATGAATATTAGATTTATGTTTAGACTTGAACTACAGATCCAAAAGATAAGATATAGCGATAAGAAACTTTGTGTCTACTTAAATAATCATTAAATTATTGCATTTTACAAAAACATAACCCTATTTTAAATGGTTCCATACAATAAAAATACACATTAGGTTTCTTAAACATGAATAACATAGCTAATGTAAAGTGACCTTTCTGAATCAATAAGTGAATTGATCAAAACAGATGCTAATTTGTATGTATAATAAAATTGATTGAATCAAAAGGTTTAAGTAAAGTTTTACTTCAGCTTCATGTGTACAAAATATTAAAAATAAAATACACTTTGGCCGCATTTAAATTTTTTTACTTTAACAAAAAGTTTTGAAATTGATATATTTCGATTAAGTCTCAACGTGTCGCAAGCTTTACAAAGCACCAAATAATTATAATGTAAAATAAATAATTTCAAAATTCTGATAAATTTGTTTATTGTGTATTTATATTAATTCCTGATAATTTCAGTCGACTCAATTTCATTTCAAATCAGAATTAGCAGGAATATTCTTAGCTTACATAGTTAAGTTTTAAGACAGCCCACATACATATATTATTTTTTATAATATTTTTGTAATTTTATATTTAGAATGCATGCTGGTGCACCAATCAATAATAAATATATTTCTAACAATAGAGTGTGAGACACTCAAGAGACCTTAGAAATAAAATATTATATTATTTTATTAACTTAATTCAACCCTGTTTCTGACAGTGGTAGGTTTTGTTTTTTAAATTTTGGTGAACACTTTAGGACCACGAAAACCAAGACTTTGTCTCTGTGGGTGTCCCAGATGTTGATGGGGTTTTCGGGGTTTTCGGAGATTTTGGCGATTTCGGGGTAGGAGGTGGAGATTGGCTTTCACCCTCTGCATTCTCAAGAGCAGTCTTTACCTATAAAAACATATTCAGAAAAATCATTACCATGACAATGCATGAGGAGATAAACTATAATTTATTGTATGTTCCCAGTCCATTATATATTTTTGGTTAATCCATACAATCTAACTTATTAATATTTACAGTATTATGCAAGATGTGATAAAATAACCAATTTTACCTTGATATTTGTTTTTGCCTGCATGTCCTTTTCATAATTTCTCACATCTTCAAGTGTCATGTTGAACCATTCATCCATCCATGTGAATGCCTGACGATGTCCAAGTAAAAGAATTTCACGGATTGCCTGAAAATATTAGAATAGTTACTCAAAAAGGTGTAAAACAATGTTATAAGAGATATTATGTAATAATTGTATGTCACCAAAATCCAAACAATAGATAAATGATTAGTATAACATTTATTATTTTAGAATATACTTGTCTAATAGACTAGTCCTACTTTACATGTAACTTAAAAAACAATACATTTAAATTTCAAATATTTCACATACAATTTCATACTTACACTTTGTACATAATCTTCAACTTTTGTCTGCAGTCCCCATACTTCAAACTTTGCATTTACCAACTTATAGCAACACATGATGGGTTTATGTGTATCACGCCAGCCCTCGGTCAGAGGTCCACGGCCAGTTTTTTCGGACTTAAAAAGTTTAGGATCTTCAGTCTCCTTATAATGATGTGGTTTGATTTCATCATATGCAATATCAAGACTATCAACTTGTCTTTGTTCAATCTCTTCCTCAGAAAGGCATAAGCACTGTAAAGTATTAATATCCAAGTGTCAAAGAAACTTACAATATTTTTCTATTTGATGACTGCCCAAGATAATATATAAATTTTCAACTACTTTAGCTTTTAGGTATTTTGAAATCGGTCTTTCAATTAATTAATTCTTTATTTTTTATTGTTAATTATATTTGCTTAATGGCACTTCTAAACGGGCCATGTTTTGCTGCAACACTGTGGCCGGCATCATTGCAAACAATAGCAGCCACACTATGCAATATTGCAGTAATGTCCCGGCCATATAGCCAAACATGTTTTGTATAGCCACATATGGCCGATGTTGCCCCGATGGGTGGCTGGACGATCGCTAGGCTATCGAATTCAACTGCAATATTGCACAGCCAGTTCTCTTGTTGTTTTAGTCACTCTCTTTGTTATGGCACAGTGTATCCTTTTCTACGCGACATGACGTTTGCTATGAGTGAAGTGTGCCTGTTGCTATATTCTGTGTTTTGCGATCAGCTGTATTTGACGTTAGATAACTACGTAAAAATGACTGCTATGGACATTCTAGTTCTTGAATAATTTATTATCAAGACTTATTTCTAGACTCAAATTGTCTACAGTTTCACGCCTATATAAGTAAGGTCGAATCCACAATCTCTTCTTTTTCTGTTTCTTTTTTAAAACAATATATATATATATATAACAATAAGCTGCTACAACAAGTGTGATTTCGTCAGCCATTGTTGCTGGTTTGTGTAGCCCGTTTAGGAGTCTGTATCATGGGCCATACTATTGCAGACATATTGCAACACATTGCCCAGCCATAGATTGTTCGGCCATCAGCTGCATTAAAATATTTTTGTAATGGCCGGGCAATTAGTGGCCAATAGTGCAGCCATCAATTCAAGCAAAACATGGCCCGCTTAGATGCGCCATAATACATTTTAATCTTACATTTTCAGTTGTTCCATTATTGTCCTCATATCTAGTTTGTATAGATACTGAAAATTTTGGGATAAAGGAGCACTAAAAACAAGAAGATGGTTAGTCAGAATTGTCAACTACTATTTGAATAAATCATAATTACTCATATACAGTTACTTACAGTGTACTCTTGGTGGTTGAATATGAAAAAAAACATACATTAGTAACATAGTAATAATCAACTATAAAATGGTCATAGTTAAAGGATAGGTAATAGAAGTTAGAGCAGTTTTGGCCTAGTGGCTTCAGTGCGCGACTTTTATACCACAAGTCGTTCGATCCCCGGCTGTGCACCAATGTACTTTCTTTCTATTCTATCTAACATTCGCTCAAACGATGAAGGAAAACATCGTGAAGAAACCGACATGACTTAGACTCAAAAAGTCAACAGTGTGTGTCAGGCTGGAGGCTGATCACCTACTTGCCTATTAGATTTAAAAATGATCATGAAACGGATTCAGAAATCTGAGGCCAAGACCTAAAGAGGTTGTAGTGCCACTGATTTTTTTTTAATAGAAGTTATAACCGGAAATCTGTTATATTTCATTTATAGTAAGAATTTTTACCTGTTATTGTGTATGGGTAATAGTTCCATGCTTTTTCAGTAACATAAAATACTCGGGGTATAATATTCTGTATCCAATATGGTAAGTGACTGAAAGTGATATAAAAACATAATATAGTGTAGATATGGAAAGCATTATCTGGATTCCAATGTCGGTAAAAATTTAATTCAATGCAGAATAAAAAAATTTAAGAAAAATTAGAACCTAGGAATAATTAAATTAATAATTTGACAGGCTAAGTTTACCTTGAGAGATGTATTCGTTTCTCAGTGAACTGTCCAACACCGTTTACTTCATCAGTTACTTCTTCATTAGCTATAACCTCCACTCCTTCGCCAGTTGTAGATTGTTCGTAACTATGACGAGCTATCATATACAATTGTCCTATTCGATACTAGAATTCGTAACATAACAATAACTATGCATTAATACTTCAACTAGAAACATACCTTAAAGTACAATAATTTTACCTCTTCCACAGTAATAGGCATGCAAATCCTGTATTCTTTTGTTAGAACCATATTAGCAGGAGTGTTTATTAATTTTAAAGTCTCAACAACGCGATAATAAAGTTTTATTGTATTAAAACAGCATTTAAATAATATTTAAATGGATCAAAATAATGAACAAGAATTAAGAAGTAAATACCATTTCCAATTTCGAAATCCCAATTATTTCACAGTAAGAGTTGTCATTTGTCACAAATTCTGTTGAATGACAATTGATAACATGACTGATAACGGTGAAAGGTTTGGTCAAAGTTAAAACTATTGACATAATATTTAAAAAAAAAAAGGTTTGGTCACGTTAATAATGTTGCTTAAGTGTGAACCCGCTACCTCCATTGCCTACAATTATATTTTACGCCCTTCAATAATGAATGAATTCTTTCTTTCAACCTAAAGTGCTTAGTGCACACGCCACACAGTAGTAGCAGTTAGAAGCAGACCTTAACTTGCCCGACTACAGTATCACTTATTGACTTGAAAATTAGGGAATTAATATAGTTTCATTGGTTGCATAAAGATAAGACCAGCAGTAAAAATGCTGAGCAGCCAGTAACAAGTATGTATGTAAATAATGAGATTATGAATAAAATAATTCATGATGATGATTACTCTTTATTGAAAATTAAATAGTGCTAATAACTGCTATTTTACCTAATATTTAAATATTATATTTTTTTATTATAAATAATTTTTTGTATATGATACAAAACAAAATATTAAAATATATATACTGATCCTAAATCATCATAATCATAGGTCCTCTTTATAAATAAATCCATTAATGATATTCCTGTAATACTGTGTAAGCCTGTGTTAACAGGTACAGCAGTTAAGTCTATATAGGTTTTACCTCCAGGTTCTAATGGTCCTAACTTTCTATTAGATATTCCACACCAAATCAAGCTAGAATCTTGATGAGATCGCAGCTTTAAAATCAAATCCAGTGTTCTTTCACTAGCATTAACAATTTTGCATTTAATATTGAATGGCTTTTCAACTGGAACTTTACTAGGCAGATTTTCATAAGTCACCCTAATATCTCCATATTCAGGAGTCATTCTCTGTAACTGACTAGTTTGCAATCTTCCTTTCTCCCCCAAATTGGATCTCCACACAATATCTAGCTTTCCAATATTTTTGGCAGCTGCTATTAATTTAATATCTGAAGCAATATTAGGTTTAGGAGATAGACAATAAAGATACTGACAGCTTTCTTGAGTTTGCAGTAAAGTAACATCACCAAAAACTGACTTTCCATCTGATGTTTCATTTAAAGATTTAACTATAAACTGCTGGGAACTTTCAAGAGAAACTTGCTCAAGTATTATTGAACCTGATGTTATATTTTGAACTTGAGCTTCAAGAAAAACTTCATCAGATTCAGCATTGTAAAACTTGGTTTTGACATCTAAAGGTTTCATTACTTCGAATTTGAAGAACTTTCTAAAAGATGCTAGAGTGTTATAATTTGACATATATGTTACTTCACAGACTAAGATGTGGGTTCCCAAATCTTTTACTTCATGGTGTATAACATCACCTAATGTTTCATCCACATCTAGCATTACAGAGGATTGGTGCTGTTGAGTCGAAAGTGGGATTCTTTGTGAACTGGTTTGTAAATCTGCTTTGATAGATACACTTTGAACAGGTTGATTTGTCTCGTTGTGAACACACACATAACATGAGAAAGTTTCTCCTAAGTAAATATTACCAAAACTTTGAGGAAGCAGTAAAAATTGTCCAGCAGCAAGTGTCTCCATGCCAACAACAGATGTTGCATCATCCTTTAAGTAGTTATTCAGTATATTCCCTGGTAGGTCTTTAAAATCACAGGTTACTATTTTAGGGCTTATGAGGGCTGGTTTTGTAAGCCTCATTACCTTTAGTGCTACTAAATGGTCCATTCCTTCTTTATTTTCCATTTTCGCTTACCTTCTGTGAGCGAAATAAATAGAAATCCTCAACAATTAATAGCTTATTTCATATTGTTCATAGTAGTTATTAGAATTATAGATCAATATTGCTTAATTAATGGATGAACAACAAATGAGCATTCTTCTTTTTTTAGTCTATGAAGGATCAAGTACAGATACTAAATTATTTTCTTGATTTGTTTTGGCATTGTATAGTATCTAGTCGAAAGTCTCACTTGTTGAAATAAATTTTACATTTGATAATTGATATCAATTTTTATTTTGTATGTTGGCGTATTACGTGAAAATATTTTTTTCGTGTTCGTCCAAAGACCAAACGGGTCGGCCAAAGCTTTTCGACAACCTCAAACCCGCTTAGTCTGGCGCATATCATTCAAATTACGAGTAATGTGTTACATTTAGATCGGGGCCTTTTTCCCCCCCCCCCCCGGCCCCCCTTCCCCCCTCCTCCCCTCCCCTTTCTTCCCCCCCCTATTTTTCGTGTTCGTCCAAAGACCAAACAGGTTACGGTCGGCCAAAGCTTTTCGACAACCTCAAACCCGCTTAGTCTGGCGCATATCATTCAAATTACGAGTAATGCAATATAGTCTTGTGATATAGCCAATTACATTACTTTAGGATACTATACCTATTAAATATATATTGATGCGGGCGGGGGGGGAGAAAAGGGGGGGGGGGGGCGGCGGTCTATATATACTCTTGTTCTTTGGGGGTTTAAGAACACTCCCAATTTCAGGAAAAAGCCCAGGGCCCCCCCCGCGGGGGGGGGGGGGAGATATTGAGTTAATTGAGTCTTAACCGCTTTATAAAAATTTTTTTAAAAAAATTTTATAATTCGGTTTTTCTCCAGATAACAAAACATAAGAGTTGGGTGTATGGGCCGCTATAAACTCCCTCCCGTTTTTTTTTTTTTTTTTTAAATAAAGTTTTTTAATTTTTTGTCTTTTTTAAAACCCCCCCCGGGAAAGACCCCCCTTTTTTTTTGTTTTTTTTTGGGGGGGTTGTTTGTTAGGAAAGAAAAAAGCTGGGGGGGGGGGGGGGAAACCCCCCCCCCCCCCCCCCGTTCCTTGTGGGTTGGCCCCCCCCCCGGGGGGGGAAAAGCGCGCGCCCCTTTCCCCCCCCGGGGGGGGGGGGGGGGAAATCCTCCCCCCCCCCCCCGGCTTTCCGGGGGGGGGGCCCCCCCCAAAAAGTGGGGGGCCCCCCCCCCCCCCCCCCCCCCTTTTAAAGGGGGGGGCTTCCCCCTTTTTTTTTTTTTTTTTGGCCCCCCTCCCTTTTTTTTTTCCTTTTTTGTGGTTTTTTTTTTGGTTTAATCTGGGTTCCCCGCCCCACCCCCCCCCGGGAAAAAGGGGAAAGGCGGGGGGGGGCCCCCCCCCCCCCCCCCCCGGGGGGGGCCCCCCCTGCCCGGGGGGGGGGGGGGCCCCCCCGGGGGGCCCCCCCCCCCCCCCCACCGCCTGTTTCCGGTTGTTTTTTTTGTTTTTGTCTTTTTTCCCTAGTGGGGGGGGGGGGGGGGGGGGTTTTTTTTTTTTTTTTTTTTTTTTTTTTTTGTGGTGTGGGGGGTTTGTGGGCCGCGGGGGCGGGGGGGGGGGGGGGGGCGGGCCGGGGCCCTTAGTTAGTTATACTTCTTTAGGCGCGTTGTGAAAAATTCATGAGAGTGAAATTTTAAGATGCGCGCGCACCGTGACACAAAATTAACAGAATGAAGTTGCCGACGGAAGATGCTACGGCATTGGACATAATTTAAAAACAACATTCGAATAATAATAGAATTTACGTTACACTTAATGTAAGAGAATAATAATTAATATTTATTTATTTAATTTTTCAAATGTAAACTGAACTTTATTGACTATAATGACTCCCTTTCCAGTCTTTGATTATTTAATTGTAATTAATTATTTGCATGCAATCAAAAACTATTTTTAATAATGCCAAAGAAGTATAACTTCTTACGCGCGTACATAAGTATACGCACCCTTTTTTTCTGGATTCAGTTACTGAAAATAAATATACATATACAAAACAAAGATAGGAAATCTTTCCTCGTAAGTCACATGCATCTAACTCGAATACTCTTCTATTGTATTTGTATATCGCTGTTTCACTTTCGGAATCATTATTGTTTAAAATTCAATCTACTAGGTGCTTTGTCTTTGCCTTATATGTTATATTATTATGTGACACAGTGACACTTGACAGTGACTTTAATTTTATGTGTTTGTACCATCTGTGTGATAGATGAGAAAATTACTGATTCAAGTTTTGTGACCAATTTATCTGTAATGCTTAGTGTGTACGAATTTATCTAATCAAATATAAATCGTCTCCATTAAATATCTTATACAATACGATGCTTTTTAAAATATAACTATAAATTCAAGAATTATTACGTGTTTAACTATATGTAATCTCTTTATGTCACCACTGTGTTTACACTGATGTGGCCCAATAGAGTGGGTTTATAAATTTCAAGTTTTTTACTATGTTCTTACAAAACTAATACATTTAAAAAAAAATGGCATATCAATCCCTCTTGCAAGAATATATGCTCATACCTCCTGTTACTAGGGCTTATACTACAGCTTGTGTCATCACTACATTGGCTGTGGTAAGTATTCTTTATTGCCTTGGGATGATGAAAAATTTTAAATGTCTTTTCAATTTTCTGAAACCATGTATAGAAAAAAAGTATCCTCTGCCAACTACTGAAAAAAAGGCAATCTCTGGGCCAGTAGTGATCTGTTTTATGCTAAAGAAATTATAGTATCTTATGAAGCAAAATTACAATGACCAATGACAATGTTTGCACTTCCTAATTAAAGGAATTACTAACTCTGTATTAATATTATTTTTCAGCAACTAGACCTAGTGTCACCATTTCAACTATATTTTAATCCCACACTGATTTTGACAAGATACCAAATATGGAGATTTTTAACAACATTTCTTTTCTTTGGAAACTTAGGATTTAATTTCTTATTCAATATGATATTTACATATAGATATTGTAGAATGTTAGAAGAAGGCTCATTTAGAGGAAGAACAGCTGATTTTGTTGTTATGTTTATTTTTGGTGCTGTGTTAATGATTGTATCCTTTTGTATTGTTTTGATTGTATTCATTATTTAATATGTTATTTCACTTGAAAATTTGTCTTCAATTTTCAAATTGGATTGGTTTAGGTTTGGAAAGCCCAGACTAATTATTTAGATAATTTGAATGAAATTTATATGACTATTACAGCTTCTACACATATTACAATTTGCACATCTTACATAATTTTGTATTTCATAAAAAGTAAGACTAAAGTAATATTAATAGGAATGTGAGAAAATACTAGTAAGTTTTGTCATAATGAATGAGGGTATAATTTTTTATATATTATTCCTTAACAATTTTTCAGCTTTGTGCATTTTTTATTAATAACTTATTATTCTTAGGACAAGCTTTCACTATAATGATTGTATATGTGTGGTCTCGTCGAAATGTATTTATACGTATGAACTTCTTTGGACTGATGAACTTCCAGGTATATATTTTATTATAACTTTAAATGCACATATATAATTTTTAATGACTTACTTCAATTCCTTTGCAGGCTCCATACTTGCCATTTGTTTTACTCGGATTTTCTGTACTTTTGGGTAATTCAATATCTGTGGATTTAGTGGGCATGGCTATTGGACACATATATTTCTTCCTAGAAGATGTTTGGCCTAGACAGGCTAGAGGACAAAAGCTTTTGAAGACACCACAATTCCTGTTAGTATATAGCATTGCATGGTTTACTATGTTTAAATTTAAGCACTATAGCAATGTCAGCAATAGCCCTGTAGTACAAGCTAACAATAGAAATATTGATTTATTTAAAGAAAATATCTTTACTTAAAAGTACAATGTTCTTAAAAGCTCTACTTCATAAGCTATGTTTTACTTTACAAGTGATTCTATATTAGTCTAATTTTGATAACATTATTGAAACTTTTACAACCATACTTTCATATATAAATATTAGTTTTTTATTTCAGCAAAATGTTGTTTGATCCAGAACCAGAGAGAGAATATGAACCATTACCAGAATTAGCAAATGTGAGGCCAGGGGGCTTTAATTGGCGTCGTCAACAGGAGCAAAACGTCAATGAAGGTGATGCATTATGAATTATGACTAAGTCAAAGTACAAGTTGAGCCAAAAATAAATTAAAATTATATTTTATAAATATGGAGTGTGGTTTATTAGCACAAAAATAGTTTCCAAGATGATATTTTTTTCATGGTACGCGTGCATAAGAGTAAATGTAATTTTACATGAAATAAATATTATATTATAAAATGTGTTTAACCTAATTTAAATTTAGTCCCGTTTGTTTATTGCCTATAAAAAGAGAATTAAAACAATAGTAAGGTTTATTTGTCGTAATTTATTACCAATTCTTCTACATAATTTACAATTAATCATACATAAGACTATCAAAAATTACAATAAGAAAAAATTAGGTCAAGTAAGTAGGTTCTTATACAAAAACTTTCACAGTGGTCAACTGTACCTTAACTGATTCGCCATTTTTTTAAATAGATTATAAAAGATAAAAAAGTCAGAATTTCTGCACAGATCCACACTTAACTTTATAAATAATATTCTATATTGTATAGATATTTTAAGTGTTATCATTTCTGCAATGGCAAACTAAGTACACAACTATAAATTTATGAAAGGTAATTTTTTTAGGGTATACCAGAACATTAGCTAGTATTTTACAAAATATAGAAAGAATGGATAAACTAAAAGAATAAAATGTATCAGTATTTTAATAGATAACAATAAGAGTAAGTTTGAAGGTAAAAGTTTATAAAAATTAAATAGACACAATACCATTCCAGTTATTTACAAAACAACACATTTATACTAGAATCAGTCTTCAATCAAACAATATTAACATCACAACTTTTTAAATCTGCATATTGCATTAAACCTTTAATGTTATCAAATGCAATTATTTTAATATTTAAAATGTATCATATAATTGACTTTCCAAGTAATATTTCATTCTAAGTCTATAGAGGACTCAATAGAAATATTTTCCAGAAGTTGATCAGAACCTTTTTTATGGCATGAGCACCTGCTACAAATCTTAAATTATAACAAACACACATTGTATTTTAAATAAAGCATACCAAATTCACTATTTTTACATTCATCACGAATGCCCAAGATCTTCCATGGATGTCTTTAATTTTGTGAAATAAAATATATTCCGAAAGATGTCAAGATAACAAATTTGCTTAATTTTTGGTGTCGATTCTAATTTGGAAGGACTATTCAAAACAAATAAAATCTAAACTAAAACAGTCAAACGATGCCTTCATAGCGCCACTATTGCCAGAAGCACTGTTATATCATCTGGTTTTCCACCTGAAAAAAAAAATTGTTTATAAAGACAGACCAGAATATTAAATGAATGGAGGTAATGATGCCATTATTATAACGAAGATACCACAATTAAGAGCAAAATTATTTTCGAGGCTAACATACAGAACTGACTTTGATCTATTTTAACATACAGAAAATCACAAGCCGCCGAATTTGTTCAAAACTAAGAACTATAATTAAACTTGAAGATGATAAAAAACATTTGTTGTTAATAATATATTATGTATTTTAAATAAGCGTTGGTAAGCTTTTACAAGTAAATTATTTCCTAAAAATATACAACTTTCGAGTTTCAAGTAAACTTGAAGTTGATGAAGACTTGATGTTTAAATATTACATCAACAAATATCCGCTACTATATAGTAATAGTAATTAACTCTCTATATTATAAAAGAAAATTCATGATTTACTATTAAGTTGCCCTTCTAGTTTGATCGAATTGTGGTTCTACTGAAATAATTCTTACATAAATTTAAAAACACCGTATAGAGGTATAAAGTAACGTTTATTTTCCGAGTGACACCAAATGATAAGACATCATAAATTAATTAAGCTGTTTATCTACATTTTTATAGGACAAAGGAACTTCGACCATTGTTTACCATTTATGACATGCGAACGCGAATGCACATTCTTCTTAGATTCCCAACCCTAATACTTAATAAATAATATAATATAAAATAATAAAGCAAAAGTTAATAAATCAGTGGCGCTACAACCTTTTTAGGTCTGGGCCTCAGATTTCTGTATCTGTAGTAGGCAGGTGCCTACTCAGGTTATCAGCCTCCTGTGCCTGACACACGCCGTTGACATTTTGAGCGAATGTTAAATGCGCACACATACAGAAAGTCCATTGGTGCACAGCCGGGGATCGAACCTACGACCTAAGGGATGAGAGTCGCACGCTGAACCCACTAGGCCAACAATAAACCTTTGTAGACTCACCTATGGCATCTATGCCGTTTTGGCGCGCGCTCTTGGCGAACGGCGACATATAACAGCCATCGAAGGAGAGATTGCGCGCCATCCAAGCAATGGAGTTCGCCACGGCCTGCAACTTCTGGGAGTCGTTGTCCATGCCCTGCGCTCTGCGCATCTCGGCTACCAATACTGTTACTGGCACGTTGTCGAATACTCCATCGGTCGCTACAAGAATTACGTCCCCGCTTTCTACTTTGAACTCGGCAGTTTCAGCCGATTCTGGCCTGTAATTTAAAGATTATTTTTTTACAAATTAATTCAATCAACTCGCGTTTTAAGAAATACAGTCAAAATCTGTTATAACGACATCGAAGGGACTACTCATATTTGGTCATAAAAACCGATCGTCGTAACAGCCGATGACGTTGTTACTAATAGCCCGAAATAAAAGCCAGGGGTGCAAAATTTGCAGTACTAAAGCGTCATACCTATTGGATTTTGAAGATAAGGTGCAGAACAAAAAAATAAACCTTTTTTAACCGTTAAGTTTTCCATTTTAGTCGTGCCAATTATAAAAAAATGCAAAAACAAAAACAGTCACTAGAAGTGGAAATAGTCGAGCGCGTCAGACATTATACGCCCTGTCTTTCTGATAAGTGATAACCGATAAATATAATCTAACAATTAACTTGTAACTTGTAATCCCCACAGACAGGGTCAGATGTTCAAAGGAAATGTTTAATTAACTCAAGTATCTTAAATGACTGACGTTTTGGACGTGCTCGAAATTTTCGAATTCGCTTTTTGAAGGAAATAATATAATTATTACGAAAAACAAAATCTGACTGGGTGATGTACATTGTACATCCCATGAAAACAGCTAAAAACCATCGAAAGAGGATGAAACTATTTTTTTTAATAACCCGACGGGCAGCCAACAACGCACCCCACTATACTAATGATTCATATATGGTTGTGGTACAATACATGGTGGAAGGTTTCTTCCAATATGACTCTGAATCTGACGGGCTCGATTACCCGCAAAATCCCCGCTTGGGCGCTCTAGAAACCCCCTTACTAAAACATACATGTTGGGTTTTTCGCATCGTGCCATTTTGCTATTATTTAACAGCTTACGTGTTTATAAAACCCTTACGATTATGCTCGAATCGACGATAACCACGCGAAAATAATCGAACGGTCTTTTTGTATGATGATTTTCTATTTTAAAAGAGTACCGAGAGTTTTTTACGCCGGCTTTTTCTCTCGGCCTACACCCTCTGTCTTCTTTGCCGACATTATTATAAAGGTAGAACTGAAGAGTTCAGACTATTAAACACCTTGGACATATTTTATTTTTGATAAGAAGTGTACAAATAATAATTCATCTTTTTGATAATGTATATATTATATACCAACGCCAAAACTTACGACGCCTTGACATTCTTAAATAAGATTTCTGTTTCGTTTGTTTTTAAATATACACAATAATCCTATTTTACGAATTACACTATGCACGTGAGTGTGGGCTGGCATATATCCAATGAGCTAAAAATTCTAATATTAGACTGCACAGAAACAACAACAGTTTCTTTGGACGAGCACATGACCAATGGGTTGGAGACGCGACAGGTCTTATGACCCGTGGGAAATTTTAAACTTAAATTTATGTTCTTTGTAAACCCATACCTTCGCCTAAATATTCTTAAAGGTGCAACCTTATCGTAAATGTTTAAAATATAAAATGATTCAGTAAAGCACAAAATGAAACAAAACTATCTTTACATACTATTATTCCAACGTAAGATCATAATGGTATTTATCAAACGTAAATGTAACATGAAACTTTTAGTTTGAAATAATCTGCTGCATTATGGATATCATTATTTAATTATAAGAAAAGGAACACAATTATTATTTTATTCGGCTAGCTATAAGAATGTCTAGTTCTCGATAAATTGCCTAAAAATCACAATAACAATTCTTAAGCTGGTACAGTGTAAATAAATTAGCTATGTTAATATTACGCAAGAACTTAGTAATAAATCTGTAGACCGTTCAAAAGCGGACTACTATTTATGTTTCTCTTTATCTACATTGTCTGTGAACTTTTATAAATTACGGCGTATAACAGATATATAATTTTTATTTATAGAACGGGACAAACGGGCAGGAGGCTCATCTGATGCCAAGTGACACCGCCGCACATGGACACTCAATGCCAGAGGGCTCGCAAGTGCGTTGCTGCCGGCCTTTGAATCATTGGTACGCTCTTTTCTTGAAGGACCCTAAGTCGAATTGGTTGGGAAATACTTCAGTGGGAAGCATGATCATCATATTTCTCTTTAAATCTGGTCTCAACTGACCACGCAATTAAAAACGAGACAGAAATATACATTTATAGATATATGTTATTTATTTTTAAATTAATTTATCTATATATTTATATATAATACTTGTTTTATCACTACAAGTTTATTTTAAAATGAGTTTCTTATGATTTCACTACCATATGTATTTGTTATTATTAAAATGTTGTTTCATATTGCAACCATCTAATAATATTAATTTAAAAACCTTGAATGATGTTTACTTGTATTATTATTATCTTCTATTTCTAACCTTTTGCTATTCTAACGTCTGTGTTAGATAACAAGTTGTCAATAATCAAAACCTAAATCTCATTCCTCATTCTATTGAATATTCTGACTTCTTATAGGATTTCAGTTAATTTTTTACTTGAATGAAGTTCTTTATTAAATGTTTACCGTAAAACTTAATTAACAAAACATATAAAAGAATTTAAAAATAAAATATGGATATACATAAAATTGTTGCATTATATTAATATGCATTGTATATTTTTTTAAACCATGCGTTGAAAAGTATTTTATAGTTTTTTAACACTCTTACCAAAACCAAACCTCCTATAAATATTGTTTATAAATACCTTTACCTACTATATATATATATATGTATATTTATAAAACAATTGCTATTAAATTAACTGTAAATATAAAATCACAGGGAAGCTTGTCATATTTACTGATGTCAGACAGCATTTAGTTTTCCCTTAGTAACTGTTATTTCCAATCAAAATAAATACTGACCTATCACTTAACACATTCCTATCATGTCCCGGTGGTGGCAGACTTAGTTGGTATGGTGTATTAAAGTAGTGCTGTTGTTCATGTGACCTGTGTACTATGCGGTTCCCTCTCACCACCATATATCCACTGTCACCAATATTTGCTGCTCGCATTATACTCTCATTGCGGTCCAGTATCATAACACAGGCTGTGCTACTTCCTGTAAATTAAATAAGACCATTATATTATGGTTCTCTTTATAATAGGTAATTTCTGAAAATTATTCTTTAAAATATAACATTTTATTAGCTATAATATTAACTTTTTATAAATCTTGAAATAACAACACATCTAAAAGAGAAGAAAAACAACATTAGTTTAATTTTACTCATATGCTAACTCAATTCAACTAATTATTTTCATTAAACAATAAGCTAAATTTTTTGTTCACCTAAAATAGGTTTCTTGTGTTCTAACAATTCATAGTATGACTTTGCTAAAAGGTCTCCTGGTTCTGATAACTTGAAATGGCCCATTCTCACAAGTCTCTCACAAGTTTTCATAAGGTAAGAGGAGAATTCTCCAGGATCAATGCCATATGCCCTCCAGCCCCCCACACCATCAGCAACACCTTTAAAATATCAATAATAACATTATTGTTGTACTCTCTTTTAAGTACTTACTCTAGATAAGTATTTAATGGAAAGCACAGACAATCAGTTTTGTATATTGTACATAACACCTATATAACCTAAGCTCGGTAACTACCAATGTACAAGCCTTTTAAATCTATAAATAAAAGATTCTGGTTAAGGAATAGTCAATAGTAAGTTAAAAAATACCAATGACATCTGCATTGTTGAAGGTAGTGGAGAACCAGGCATCGTCGCCAAACTGTCCTTTATGAGACCTCCCATTCGCAATATCTTTAGGAAAACCACAAACCACTGACACTAAATATGGATGTTTCTTTTTGGAAACATTTAATTCAGCTGCACTCGATAAATTCGAAAGTCCATTTCTTATAGCACGTGATAAAACTCTGCCTGTCCAAAATATAGAATGCATCATTCACTCGCTTGGTTGTATTAGACTAATCACAAAGAACAATTTGTAAAGAAGCCCATATCATTTAAATCGTTTAAAATCACATAACAATAATCAATTCTAATCAGTATCTACTATGAATAATCGCATATTAAAGTGAAGTGCGCACAATCACTGAGCCATTTGATTGAAAAATCAAAAATGAAACCGAAAGGAAGAAGTCAGTACTCAGTAGTTACGTTACGTCAAAGGTTGATCACGTTTAAACCACAGTAAATAAATATTTTATATAGTAAGTCCGCTTAACTGTAGCTTTTACAGCTCGTGGTTTACTATTAGTGGTTTTAATGATATTTATTTGGATTTTGGACATTGAAGAGAAACCTAATACTATCCAGGTGTTAACTATTAGCAAATTGTCTATAAGACTGAAAAGAAATATCTAAAACTGCAGATCCAAAGTGTAGGTAAAGTAGGAAAAGGACAAGGACAAGGCCTCAATGGGAATTATATTATGAACTATGATGTATTTCCACCATAAATAAAAATATAAATGGTTCCTTCTATGGCATGTGAGTTTTCATATGCAGAGGAAGCAATAAGCTTTATATTGTTTGAATATAAAATGTCAATAATATTTTCATTACTCTTTAATACGATACATTAAATAAAAGATATACGACATTACATCTAAAATAATTAAAAACAAATATTTTTTTGAAAAGGTATTTTAATATTGTTATTTCTGAATATGTGTACACCATTCTTAATTTATTGATCCATAAACAAAAGTTCATCTAGTTTTGACATTTCTATCTTTCATAGATAATGTGGGAAGGCGTTGTAGAAGAAAGCTCGGAGGTAGTAGTGATTAATAAATCTAACTAGTTTTTCGGAATTGCTTATTTCTGTTATTACAAGTTTTCAAAACGTTTTCAATTTAATTTAATCATTTAAACAAATAACGTAACATATTCTTGATCAAAGGGTTCAAAAAGGCATAAAACTGGTGTTCGATAAGTCACTTGGCAATATGCCTGCCGTCAGGGGAGATGGTATGCGAGGACTGGCTGTCTTCATATCAGATATAAGAAACTGCAAAAGTAAAGAAGCTGAGATAAAGAGAATAAACAAAGAGCTAGCAAACATAAGAAGTAAGTTCAAAGGCGATAAGACTCTGGATGGATACCAGAAAAAGAAGTATGTATGTAAGCTTCTTTTTATATTTCTACTTGGTCATGATATTGACTTTGGTCACATGGAAGCAGTTAACTTACTATCCTCTAACAAATATTCAGAAAAGCAAATAGGCTACTTATTTATATCTGTCTTGGTCAATACTAATAGTGATCTTATCAAGCTAATCATACAGAGTATTAAAAATGACCTGCAATCTCGAAACCCTATTCACGTCAACCTGGCACTTCAGTGCATTGCTAATATTGGCAGCAAAGAGATGGCAGAGGCCTTTGGTACTGAGATTCCCAAATTACTTGTTTCTGGTGACACTATGGATGTAGTGAAACAGTCAGCTGCTCTATGCCTTCTTAGGCTTTTCCGAAAATCACCAGAAATTATACCAGGAGGTGAATGGACCTCGAGAATAATACACTTGTTAAATGATCCTCATATGGGTGTAGTAACTGCAGCTACATCACTTATTGATGCTTTAGTTAAGAAAAATCCTGAAGAGTATAAAGGGTGTGTCACCCTAGCTGTTGCAAGATTGAGTAGAATTGTCACTGCAAGTTATACCGACTTACAAGATTATACATACTACTTTGTGCCAGCTCCTTGGCTTTCAGTGAAATTGTTAAGGCTTCTTCAAAATTATACACCCCCTTCTGAAGAGCCAGGAGTGAGAGGTAGATTATCTGAATGCTTAGAAACCATTTTTAATAAAGCACAGGAACCACCAAAATCTAAAAAAGTACAACATTCAAATGCAAAAAATGCTGTTCTCTTTGAAGCTATAAGCTTGATTATTCACAATGATAGTGAGCCCAACTTACTGGTGCGTGCATGTAATCAACTTGGACAGTTTTTGAGTAATCGTGAGACTAATCTACGTTACTTAGCTCTTGAATCAATGTGCCATTTGGCTACATCAGAATTCTCTCATGAAGCTGTAAAAAAACATCAAGAAGTTGTCATACTTTCAATGAAAATGGAAAAAGATGTGTCAGTTCGCCAACAGGCAGTTGATTTACTTTATGCTATGTGTGATAAAACAAATGCTGAAGAAATTGTTCAAGAAATGCTTGCCTATCTTGAAACTGCAGACTATTCTATCAGGGAAGAAATGGTTTTAAAAGTTGCTATTTTAGCAGAAAAATATGCTACAGATTTTACATGGTATGTGGATGTCATCTTGAACCTTATCAGAATTGCAGGTGATTATGTATCTGAAGAGGTGTGGTACAGAGTTATACAAATTGTTATTAATAGAGAAGAAGTGCAGGCCTACGCAGCTAAAACTGTTTTTGAAGCTTTGCAAGCACCTACATGTCATGAAAATATGGTGAAAGTTGGAGGATATATCTTAGGAGAATTTGGAAATTTAATAGCGGGTGATACCAGATCATCTCCACAAGTACAATTTGAACTTCTTCATTCAAAGTACCACTTATGTTCTGCAGCTACTAGAGCTTTACTTTTATCAACATATATAAAACTTGTGAATCTTTTCCCAGAAATAAAATTAAGAGTCCAGGAAGTATTTCGTGCTGATTCTAATTTGCGTTCTGCGGATGTAGAATTACAACAGCGGGCTTCAGAATACTTACAGTTAAGTATTGTGGCGAGTTCTGATGTTTTAGCTACAGTGCTAGAAGAAATGCCAGCATTTCCAGAAAGAGAGTCATCAATATTAGCTGTACTGAAAAAGAAAAAGCCTGGTCGTATTCCTGATGATATTAGAGAGTCCAAGAGCCCTCAACCAGTTGCAACACCAGCTCCAGTTATTCATAATTCTACAAACTCAAATAGTGTCAGTACAGATCTTTTGGGATTAACAACTCCTCCAGGGAGTTCTGCGAACACAGGCAACGGTCTACTGGATGTTTTAGGAGACCTTTATACTGCACCAAAAATTAGTCCTACTACAGTACAACAAAATAATATAAAAAAGTTTTTATTTAAAAACAATGGGGTACTATTTGAAAATGATTTAATTCAAATCGGAGTCAAAAGTGAATATAGACAAAATCTTGGTAGAATTGGTTTATTCTATGGAAATAAGACGCAGTTCCCCATTCAAAATGTTCACCCAGAATTGATTTGGACAGACTTGCACAAACTTAATGTGCAAATGAGACCTATGGAGCCAGTTTTAGAAGCAGGTGCCCAAATTCAACAGATGCTTACAGCTGAATGTATTGAAGATTTTGCAGATTCACCAATCATGTCTGTAACTTTCGTTTACAATAATGTTCCACAAAAAATTTCAATGAAGCTTCCGCTCACTTTGAACAAATTTTTTGAACCAACTGAAATGAATGGCGAATCATTTTTTGCACGATGGAAGAACTTAGGTGGTGAACAACAACGAGCACAAAAGATATTCAAGGCACAAGGTTCCATTGATTTACATGCGACTCATACCAAATTAGCTGGTTTTGGTATGCAGATATTAGATGGTATTGATCCCAACCCCGACAATTTTGTGTGTGCTGGGATTGTCCATACAAGACTTCAACAAGTTGGTTGCCTGATGAGATTAGAACCAAATAAGCAAGCTCAAATGTATAGATTAACTGTGAGATCAAGTAAAGAAACAGTTTCTCAAGAAGTTTGTAATCTGTTGGCAGATCAGTTCTAAATTATCAAAGTATAACATAGGTACTTCAGAATTACTCATGTATAATGTTATTGGTGCAATGCCATTGTAGATTAAAATGCTTAACTTTGAAGCTCTCAGTACTGAGTTTTTTTACTGGTAATGTATAAATAAAAATATATGCATGTTATATTAAATTGTTTTATATGTATATTTTTTGTTTTACACTGGAAACATCATACATAAAGTACATAAATTAAAAAATAATATATTTGAAATTATTTTAATGTAGGTTTTATGTTGTAAATTATTGTAATGATCTTTATTATATTCTTTAATGAATATTCATGTATTGGTTTCTTAGTGTTTTTTTAAGTATTAATTAAACTTATATTATTTTAGAAATCAAGAAATATGCTTTTTGGCATTAACTATTAATATCTAAAGGCTTTAGCATATTGGTACAAAACAGGTTAATTTATGGATTTTGGCCCATAACTTGGAAAGAGTTTGAGAGAGGTGTGATGCTGCTAAAGTAGATGCTCGAATTTTCCTCAACTAACAGAAATCTTTTCAAGTTACACGCCGATCCAATTTCTTTTTGAAGATACATCTACAGACAATATTGAAACTAAATGTTTTTGGGCAAACTATGCAAGTTTTTTTTTAAATTATTTAAATATGTATAATATATTTTAAATTACTTTGGAGCCATAAAAAAATGTATTAAACATTTGTTGGGAAATAGTTCTTACGAGTTACATATGCCTAGCAATTTAATGATAATAAAATATATTATAAGACACCATAATGGAAAACGGGGATCAAAAATATTTTTTCTTTAACCTCCTAAAACATAGAATTATGGCAAAATTGTTAACCACCACTTGAAAGCATTTGTACATTATTATTTAAAAATATTCTATACTTGAACCCAAAAATAACTGTTAATTATCATAGGTGTATAAAAATTTAGTGTTTTACAAGTTGTTAAATAGTATGCTTAATTGTTTTAAAAATGCTCAAAGACATTCCCATAATTTATCTTTTCAGTTTTGTGTTTATTTATGTAGGAGCTAAAATTATAAAATGTGTGTTTAAGACAACTATTTTCCATGCTACTTTTATGTAATCATTTAAAGTAGCAACTCAATGTTACTGTCTTTATAATAAATCAAATAAAAGCATCTCAGATAGTTTATATTATAAAAGTATGTATGAAATATTGTAGAAAACTTGAAATATTTATAGTATCAATAGTTGTTACTTGGACACTTATAGTAATAATGAATTTTGTGTAGTTTAATAGCACTCACGCCATTTTGGATTTTAAAGTAATGATAACAAAGTACCCATATTTTATTTTATTATAATCACAAGACTTGGGCAGTTAATAAATTAATTCACTTTTAAAATCCTTCAAGCATTAATTCAATAAACATTGTATGTTCTGTGTTAAGGGAATCTCATATAAGAGTTATTTTTTAATAGATTACTGATTCTCAACTATTATAATGTTTAGAATATGGTAGTTAAATAGGATATTATATGTTGTTATAAAATTGTGTAGAATGCTAATATGAGTGGCATGATAGATTTGTTGAAACTTTATCTTTATATGTGTTTACTCCTACATAATGTATGTATATATAAAATATTCAGCACATCACTATCATATTAGAGACGTATTTGGTGCGCTTACTGCTATGCTAATACATAGATAAGTTTGTGTTTTATGTACATTTAGAAAAAGTTTTGACCTAGTTTCAAAAGACAAAATATAGTTATCTTCTTGGGCTTTGAAATCATGTTATATGTATTAAAATATATTGTCTCAATAAAATATTTAATCAAATACACAACGGATTTTTTAATTTTTATTTAACTCTACAGTTAGATATTAATGTGATACTGGACAGAGTTAACATTGTTGAAAAGTACAATGTTATTGAGTTTGTATCATTGTATCCAAGTCTTATGTAGATTCTTATCCATTGTATTAGTTTAATTCGAAGAAAAACAATTTTCATCGAATTTAAAATATAATGTTAATCAAACCATTCTTCAACAATTGGTGATGTTTCCAATACATCATTAGATTCACTGAAACAATAAATCATATTATCATATTTAAATTTATAAATAAAATTTTCAATGTATAGTTTTTTTACCTGTCAAGAGATGGATCATTGCTAAACATTTCTGTTGGCACTGTAGGTGGAGCACGCTCAGGCAAAAGTTTCAGAAATGTTTGACGTGATTGTAAATGACGTTCCACTTCTTCAGGTGTCATATGACCATCACTGTTACTAAGGCCAAATCCAAGTCCGGGTGATGCCTTAGCCATCATATTGGAATTACCTTGATGCTGAAACAATGTCATAAGTACCAAATAATGGATGTACTTTATTTATCTAAAGTATTATATATAATCATTTCTTCTACTATGTAATTTTGACTATAGATTCTAGTCACTCTAAATTTACTAAAAAAAAAACTTTCAAATCATGCACATAACAATGGTGTTATACCTATGAAATGTATTCTTTGATCACTGATAGATACATACAAAACTGTGTCATAAAACATAAGTAATAAAAACTACCAAAGCGTGCATGTAAAATTTAACTAGTTTTATTTTTCAGAACAAGAAACAAAATTAAAAAGTAAAAGGGTTAAAATATATCTTTGAGTGGCAAAAAATAATAAAATTTTTAATAAATAGGTAACAATCGTTTTGACTCATTTAATGGAAATATTAACATGAAGCATTTTGCTTTTAAAAATACGCACTAGTTAAAACTATAACAAAATTGGTATTCTTGGAATACATAAATACTTAGGAGTCTAATACTAAAGAATATATTTCACTAATCAGACATAAACCTCAAGGACTAAAAGTAACTTCATAGTTTTACCACCTATCATCAGTTAAAACATTTCTTAGGCATATCATTTTTGTCTTACAGGATTATTGATATTTGTAGTTTTTTTAGATACAGCTCTTTTCCTTTTGTTATTACTATTGATACTTTTGTTAATTGGTGATGGTGTTGTTAGAGGAGCTTGACTTATATTTGCTTCCATTTTCTTCCTAGAATTTAAAATTTATATTTAGGTATAACTGAATATACTAATTAGTAAATATGTACATGATTATTATTCAAAACATTAAACTTTTACCTTTTTGATCCATCTGTGTTAGTACAACTTGTGTCATCTGAAGATTCTGTATCTTCACTTTCTGATGAACTACTGTCTGGTTTTTCATACTGTAATAATCTGTCTAATAGAAAAGACCGATCTCTTGTTACCTTTAATAATCGTTTTTGGCTTGATCGTAGGGCATCTTGAAAACATTCATTTTCCTGCAAAATATTAACAGGGAAAATGTAAAACGAAGTCAGTGACTGCTAAAAATATCAATTTGCCCAAAAACATACATATATTAGATATTTTAATTTCTTTTTAAGAGTTAAGTATTGTGCTCGATAATTAGGTTCGTTTTCCGGATCACTGCTACTGTCACTAGAATAGTCTTTATTTGATTCTGCTTGAGAAGTATCAGCCACTGCACTATTTACACTTGCTTCTTCATTAGCTTGCATATTGGCTATTGAGCGGCAGTACCACCCATCAAGCATTTTCTGCAAAGAGTCATAGCTTATAATGGATTCGGATCGGTATTTAACGAAAGTAGTTCCTAAAAATGTATTGGTTGGTACCTTCGGAAAATTTTCGGACGCCAGTTTTGTTGAATATTAGCTAAATGGTAAAGTAAGCTTTTATATTCTATTCTATATTTATTTCTTTTATATAGAATTATTAAATGTACTTCATATTCTTAGAATTAAGAATATACTAAAATTAACTAAACCTATTCAGAATTTATTGTTTTATAAAATTGATATCCGAAATCCGAATCTTCCATTCAATTGATTTTTATTTTTAACACAGACTAGGAAGACTAAAGACTTCAGAGTTTAGACTTTTGGAATGTTTAGCCGACTTTAAAAAACCAAAGGTGAGGTCACATAACTGATTTTTATCAAATTACTTTTTATTAAAATAAATTTATTGTGAAATAATTTAACTAACATAGTTCATGTTATATGTATCTGTGAATTGTCATTATCTTATATTGAACTGATGAAATATTGTAGTAGCAGATTTTGCTTATGGCTACAATATTATTATTCTCGTTCTCATGACATGCAACTATAAAGGAATGTGGTGTTACGGCCTTAGGAAAAGAACTAAAACTTAGGGGAAGGTCGGGACCCTTCGTACGGTTTTCACATTTTATTTTTTTATGATTTTCTTTTTCCATGAATCAATCATCTGATAGCTTAAATTTATAGTCTAACTATCTGAGATTCATATTAAAAAAATACAAATGATTTCATCTGATGTTTCAACCATAATAATGATTTAAACTAAATCTGGAATACGTATGAATCTGCCCCATCAACGGGGCAACTTCGTACAGTATTGGGGGTACCTTCGTACGCTGTGGGGTAGATCCGTACGTGCGATTAAAACGACACATATAAATCAAAATTCATTTATTAGCAATGAAATTAAACACAAAAATAAAGATTTAACTTCTATTAACCAAAAATAAAATACTTTTCTTATATTAAACAAAAATTACATAGCTTTTCTTAAGTAAAACAAAATTTAATTAGTTAGGTATTTTAAATTTAGAATCACATTTTTTAATCTTTGGTGCGGATTAGCACTTCTTATCATCGGGTGTGGCAGTATAAATTCGTGGTTTTCCTGGCCGTCGTCGTCATTTTGTTTGTTTTATTACTTCTTACAACATGCGGATAGGGTCGAAACGCTTCTGGTGTCAAAACTGACTTCGAAGGAACTACTATTTGATGGATTGGTAAATTATTCAGAGCATCTGGTTCACAAGCATCAAAATCAACCTGAATAAAGATAATAAAAATAGGTATTAATATATATATACATCGACGATAGCAATGATAGCAACACAGGACAAAGTTAATGCAAATATTAGCAATTAGCACACTAACACAATCTTTCCTACCTACCAGAGGGTTTAGTCAAGATGCCTTAACAGTAGTGTATGTAGCAAGTCGAAAACTTAATTTGTATGAAAATGACAGTTCGTGTCGACAAAATATTTTCATACAAATTTAGTTGTACAATTCGTTCAAATGTGCCCCATCTAGTGCTGTCCGAAAGTACCCTACTAACTGAATAACAACAAAATATAACTTATTTTAATATTAATAGGAAAACGTCATAAATTAAGTATTGGAGACGTATCTTAAGTATAGTTGCTAGTAACTGATAGAATACTCTACACGAAAACTAATTTTATCTACGGTAACAAGAGACAAAAACATTGATCAAAAAATTACTTACCGAGCGCGAAAACACGTCCATGCCTGTAACTTCACTCTCATGATGAGAGTCTCATCGGTGTGAATTTCGCGAAACTTCGTTGATATATAGTTGGTACCTCGACTCATGCACACATACAAAAACAGACTGTACTTTGTTTCGTTCGAAGGGTAACGATCTTCTCCTATATGTTGGTCTTTTATTTTCTATCGCCATCCTTATATGTAATAAGCAAAAAAGAAGGGTGCGTGTACTTATGTACGCGCGTAATAAGTTATACTTCTTTGGCATTATTAAAAATAGTTTTTGTTTGCATGCAAATAATTAATTACAATTAAATAATCAAAGACTGGAAAAGGAGTCATTATAGTCAATAAGGTTCAGTTTACATTTGAAAAATTAAATAAATAAATATTTATTATTATTCTCTTACATTAAGTGTAACATAAATTGTATTATTATTCGAATGTTGTTATTAAATTATGTCCAATGCCGTAGCATCTTCCGTGGGCAACTTCATTCTGTTAATTTCGTGTCACGGTGCGCGCGCATCGTAAAATTTCACTCATCCATTTTTCATAACGCGCCTAAAGAAGTATAACTTCAATAATACAAGGTGTATTATTTTTCATTGTGTAGGAAGGCAGTATTTTGGTTTGTTTTTTTTATCGACATTTTATATCAATAAAAATAAAACATCCAACGTTAAACATGTAGTCCAAAAGATGTAAGGAATTAGTAAATGTGGAGTGTTAAATTACAGTTATATTGTTAGGCATGTCGTTAGTCGGTTGATATGTGATAGAGATAGGGAATACATGCCCTAATAAAACACAATTCATACTAAATTATATTTTCGTAATGGAAGCTCCGTGGCAGCTCTAGGCTAGAGAAGCTACTCTCCCACATAGGAAGAGTCCTTACTTAGGTTTCTTAATTTAAAACTTTATAGGTTATAAGAGTACTAATATTTCTAATTAATTAATGTTTTTCAAGAAACCCTTGGTAACCAATCTGTTATTTTAATTTATTTGATTTAACTTCTTATGAGATTTTGCCCTTCTAATACTTTGACAAGATAGGTAGGTTGTTTAACAGCATTTAATTGAAATTATGACAGGATATAGCTGGAATAATTTCCCGAAACATTATTTATTTATTGAATTCGTTTCGCACCGTATTTAATTTCTAAAATACAATTACACAAGACATCTTATCACAATTTAAACAACGAATAACGAGCATAACAAATAACTTTACTTTTTAAGGTTTATTATTTGGTCATTATACCATGACCAAAATGCGTTGTATCTTAACTGACTCTATCAAATGTATGAAATATATATTTAACAAGCTTAAATGCATCAGCATTTGCAAATGGGTTTACGACCACCAAACGAAAAAGCACATGCGTATGTGCATTTAGAATTTTAAAAACAAACAACAAAAACAGTTTTATATCGCTTGTAGTTAAAAATAGGTTTATTTTTGAAGTTATACTTCTTTAGGCGCTTTATGAAAAAAGGATGAGAGTGAAATTTTATGATGCGCGCGCACCGTTACACAAAATTAACAGAATGAAGTTGCCCACGGAAGATGCTACGGCATTGGACATAATTTAAAAACAACATTCCAATAATAATAGAATTTATGTTACACTTAATGTAAGAGAATAATAATTAATATTTATTAATTTAATTTTTCAAATGTAAACTGAACTTTATTGACTATAATGACTCCTTTTCCAGTCTTTGATTATTTATTTGTAATTAATTATTTGCATGCAATCAAAAACAATTTTTAATAACGCCAAAGAAGTATAACTTCTTACGCGCGTACATAAGTACACGTACCCTTTTTTTTGTTTGTTTGATATTCCATTAGCTATTTGACTATGTTTTCGAACCCTTTAGATTAGGTAAGTTAAAAGTCACTATTTACAGATTTCAGAAACTATGGAAAATAATTACTGTAGGTTTCCGCGAGATATTAGCTTCCGGAAATAAGTTACGAAATTGATTGTTGTCAATATTACTATTTTAATGACAAACATATTTTGTTTTAGAAAACTTAGTTATATTTTAAATACATATTATGTTAAAATTTTTTTTTTTAAATTGTAAATACTAATTATGTATTACAATATTGTATATTATGTGCGTTTTCCAATTACAGAGCATTTTGCGACTCAGTGCCGCACAATGCCGCATAATGCTGAAGCTTAATTGGAACGTGAATTAGTTTTCAAATGCATCAGCAGAGTGCGCTAAGTCAGTGTTGACAAAAAATGGTCTGAATAGAGTTAGCAACCTCATTAATGTATAAATAATGTGGTAAACAATAATAGTTGGTTGAAAACTTTTTACGCTTAATTAAATAATCAAATTATTTCATTAAAATTTTTTTACTGAAATAAGAGAAAACCTTTAAAGAATATAAGGTTTTAACAAGCTAAATTAACAGTAAAATATTAAGTTTCATGTAAGAAGTTTACATCATTTACGTTTTGAGTAATATTTTTTAATGATTTCTAAAAAATTATATACTTTTTCAAAACCATTGCAATTTTTTCTAAAGTATAATCCTGTAAAGTAAATTTGTTTACAGCCCTGCGATTCTGTAACTCGCTTCACACACCCTCAGCGCTGATTTTTGCTGTCAAATCGTTCGTTTCGGTGTCATGTTACAATTTGGTATTCTGATAAACAATAACCGCGACAAAAGCGCCGCTCAAATGAGATTGTTCACATTTGGAACTAAAATTTGGCAGTTTGGCACTGCTACACTTACGCTCCAAAATTGTTGGTATTTGGTATTCTGATACATACCATTTGACATCTCATCTCATTTAAATGTAGATTCTTTACGTCAAATTAAAAGTTGCTCTTCCCTCGCTGAAATCGTGATTTACCAGTGAGGTAGCCATTTTTAGCGAAGTTAAAACTTGTTTTATGTGAAAATATTCTAACATAGGACAATCTATATGTATGTTGATTGTTGGGGTAAGTTTATAAAATAATATTTATAAATAATGTACACTGGATATGTAGCACTATAAATTTTTGTGAAACAAAATAAAGAATTTTTGAAATTGAATTGAATATTTATCAATGCAGCTATATTTTACGAAAAAATTATATATATAAGCATTAGGCTTCGTGAAATAGAACTTTGTTATTGTTACAGAAGGCCCGTTTCCACTTTAAAAGCTTAAACCTCTATTTCATGAAATAAATGATGTAAACCATTAAAAATACTTCATATA